ATCAGATGTCGCTAACAGAATTATTGCCAAAAATATTGCCACTCCATACATAAAATGGTCTCTTATGACGCTCAGTATAGGGTTCATTTGTTAGGAAGAACTTTTGATCATAGTCATTAAAGACCAAACATCTGAAATAAGAAATCTGCAATATTTTTGTAGCTATAATATTTTGTCGCTAAATAGGAATGAAATATTCCTTTTGATATCAAAATGTCACTTAATCTAGTGGCAAATTTGTCAAGTTGACAACAATGATCTAGGTTGATTACTTTGAAGATTTATGTATGGAATTGTCGTAAAAGATTGTTATTAAAAAGTTCCTGTTTATTAGTTAACAGGTTCAGGCGTTACTTTGCGGAAGTTCATGTTAATTATACACTCAGCCGAGTGTCAAGCAGTCAACAGCCCCTGAGGATGCCTCGTGGAGAGGCGAAACACGTGTCGGGTATATTTTTGGTGAAGGTTTGTGACTATAGTTGCGCTTGTGTTATTTATTTTATTAATTTTATTTATAATTAACTGCATGATAAAATATTCAACGCAAGCGCAGCTATTTTGCATGATTTAACCTTCACTGGGATCGCAGAGTAGCAAATTAATGTACTTCTATTTTTATTCCTTTTTATTTTACAAATAATAAATAAAAACCTTTAATTTGTACAATGGAAAGAGTCTCAAAATTAAATTTTGGTGAAAAAATTATTTGATTGATCCCAAGCATATACTTACACTGTCTCGAACTGGAGACTTGACAGTGCAATTACCACCTTCCTTATGCTCCTGGAACTCTTCAACAAAGTGGAAAGCAGAGTGGCAGTGCCCACAAACTAGCACATCTAAAGTTGCCATCGCTTCATTTGCCTCTGAAATGAATCCATAATATTATTCAAGCTTAACATGAGCACAGAGACATGTTTTCTCGAAGCTGTAGAACTTGGCTCCAAATTGATGTTACATAGGTGTAATTATTACATTATAGACAAAGGATACTTGCAAGTTAAGTATATTTTTACTTGTGCTAGGAAATATGGGTTACAAAAACAATGATTTATAGGGAATATCTGTATATATAAAATTTGAAAAAGAAGACCAGAGTCATCTATATAAACTACACTATATATATATTTCCTCGTGATTTTTTGGGGTGGTGAGCATTGAAATCCTTTATCTTGCCTAGATGGATGGTGAGCCAAAAGCTTTGGGAACCTGTGGTGTGAGACAATAAAAGCAGTGCTTATCATTGTCTTAGAGTCGATACCTTGTGTGAGATTCCTATGTCATTTTTCAGGCCAAAGAGACAAATGTGATGTAAAATATAGTAACACAATAATGTTAATTGGTTAAATTATACCTCTCTCAGATGCTGTGTACTTTAATAAAATATTTAATCAAGAGATTCATAAGTTATGCTAAAGTTTTTTAAAGAGCTTAATATCCTTACACTAACATTAATATGAGGAATTAAAATAAACTAGCTGTTCTTGACAGTCATCTTCATAAAGTCTCAAAATAATTTAAGTAGCAATGTACACTTCTATAATAAAATTCAGATTGATATTCAAAATTTGCCATTTATGAGGTTTAAAACTATTGTCAAACAAAAACTTTATACTATAGGTTATTATGCAACTTCTGCGTATTTAGATGACAAAAATCCTACTGACCCGTTTAGTTCTTTCAGGTATACTCAATCTAAGATGTTTAAATGAAATATTGTAATGATAAATGTATTCAAATGTATATTTACAAAGACCAACCCCTAGAGTTTGGTGTTCTTTCTACTCAGGGGAATCTGCCTTACGAATGAGCAGTAGAGTTTAATCAGTATGACAATTTCAAGTGTAATTTGCTTACCTATGCAATAAAAATTATTTAACTTAGCTTCAACAAAAATCAGTAGAAACAAAGTATGTAAAAATGAACACAAGGTTATCACTCTAAGGAGATCTTATGTACTGACTTTCAGCAGGAACTAAATATGTATAATCAGCATAGTTGAAGACTTCTCAGTCCCAAAACTGTTTTGTTGACTAGTAATAATTTTGTTTATACAAATACTTTTTAAACTTCTAATGGCAATGGTTGACAAGAATATACAAACTTCGGGTGTTCACTACTAACCAACTCCATTTAGTATGGAATATCTGTTTACCTTTCAGAGCTGCAGGATTTTTGGCAATTTCTTCAGGATTTCCCACTGGCACCTCTTCTGAGGCACCAGCTTCACTATCTTCAACTGAAGTCATCTTACTTCAGGCTCTGTAAAAGATTATGCGTATCATGTATGAAAAAGTATTCATAAAAAAATACCACTCAAACATAACCTCCACAAATAGATCAACCCGGCTTCCCGCCAACTCGCTTATCACAGATTTACATTTAATCTACCTAATTTGTAAGAGCATACAAATGACGCTGTATTTCACCCAAGGTTTGAAATAAACAATAAAACAGATAAATTTGCCTTTTAATTTATTTTGTGGTTAAATTCAGTAAATAATAATAAAACAATGCTACAATTCTGTGACACATCCACGCTCACGTACATCCATTGCTGACTGAATACCAAGCCCAGCACAGATAATTTTAATTAATTTACGCTAAATCCACGGTAACAGATTGTTTTCCAATTATTTTATCACACATCATTAACTTCAAATTCAACTCACCAAAACAATGTCACTAATATTTTTTTCTAAAAACTGAATTCTTCAGAACGACTCAAAACGGAACAAATTACAGCAAGAATCGAATTTTTATGAGGAAAAAAAACAGCGTCAGCGACACGCTTTCAATGCCCCCTAGCGAACGCCGACACATTCGGTTCTCATTGTTCTTTAAAATTATTTCGACCAATCATACGGCCGAATTCATACTCAAACACCACTCACATAAATGTTCATCGCTAAGCATATCGTAACGAACTTGCAGTTGCGACATTGGCGTAACGTTTTGCCGAAAGCAATTATTCACCGTCAAGTTATACCGACAGAATACAATGCTAAAATTTTATAACATTTTTGCCCCGAAAAGATGAGATTGTAATTAGGAAACGTGTGGTAAATTTCTACAAATGTTTTGGGAGGTTTTAGCTTATCAATTTTATTCTTAACATAAAGTAACTTTATAAAACTCGAAATTTCTACGCAGTTAATTTATTTATATAAAAATATCTCAGTTAAACAATAATAAGTAATGTTATTATTTATATATGTAGCAGCAAAATTTTATTGCGCACTTCGTCGTCTTTACAAAAAGCTTAACCGCTTTCCAAAACAATACAGTTTTGCAAAGCGGCTACTTGTAATTCTTCTAATGTATCTTTCAGCCGGAATGACCAAATATAATAAAGTGGAAATGATAAGCATTTCATGGTCTCCAATGCATGAGACCATGAAATGCGGCATGACGCTGTTGTTGTAATTTTATTATTTTCTATCAGTTTATTATTTATCAATCATCATTGTCACATTACAACTCTATCCCTCGTCACCCAAAATACTCGCCATAGATCATACACTATATTGAGAGTACTCGCCGGGAATGGTGTTGCTGTTGCTGTTGATTGTTGACATAAACTATTTTGCATGACGGTTGACATATCGGCTGTAATTTTAGTAGACTGGTATTTCAAAGGTCGTATTCCTGAACTCTATTCAATGTTCAAGTCAGGACTTGAATATGATTTCAAGTACTAGAAATCATTTTCAAGTCCTGACTTGAGCATTGAGTAGATTTCTGGAATACGACCCTAAGAACAATAACCTGGAGCTGGTATTCAAGCCACCTCGAAATTTGCAAGTCGATAATATAATGACTTATCGATAGATTATGGTACAACCTTTATTCTAAGGGTACAACACTAAAGAAAATAGAAATCCGCCATTATGAGAGGGTAATATTGTTCTGTGATTATGAGCATCCGCAACAATTATGAGATAATACGATTTGTTGTTCAATTTTTGTTTACATATGCATGTTCACTCCTTAGTATGGCAGCTCCTTACTCCTTTCCTTTATTTTTTTTTCCATCTTCTAAGTAAATAACATACTCATTAACAAAGAGGATCTAACCACTATGCTCATTAATTGAGAACATGTTGGCTAGCATCTGCATGGTCAACCAACACATAGTCGTTAATTATAATTAATTGAATGGGAGACTATCGTTCTTACTTCATTCATCACATCAACTTAAAATGTTACAAAGCATTAGGAAAATCAAAACGTAATTAATGTAACATAAAATTAAATCATCTCAGTAATTTTTTTGACATTTACTGTTTATTAGAGACAAACGGATATCATGTAATTATCCGATATCCGACCTATCTGACTAAATTTTACTATCCGGCCGGATACCGGATATTTAAAACTGAGAAAAATTCACAATTATTACTCTAAGTAAATTGATTTATTGACTAAAGAGGACAGTAATAGGATAAATAAATAGCAACTACTAACAACCGTTCATTAATTGTAACTGTAAAGAACTATGAAGTTAGATAACGTAAACTGTACATTTAGTACTCGAATTTCAATAAAAGTAAATTATGGTGGATGTGTCGGTTATGTTTATTTTCATAAGCGAGACCAGCTTCAGAAGAAAGCTTTTCGTTATAAACTCTTGCAAACTTTGTTAAATTTTGGTACTGCTTGATCCTACCAGACAACCAAAATGAAATGATCACGATCACGATCGATTAAAATGGCTTCAAATAATAATCAATTTAAAATAACTATGTATGAACAATGTGTACCGATAATAATGAAAAGTGTATGTAGATTTTGAAAAAAAATGTCATCATAACCAGGTTTAGAATAATTAGATCACAAACAACAAATTATTTCATTGTTTAGTTAAATCAAATTATAACAATATAATAACGGGCTTATCAAGTGCTAGGCCATAGTTTCCCAAAGTGGTATCTGCCGCCCCTCAGCGGGCGCTGAAGAGTCCTAGGGCGGTGCCTCGGAAGCAATTGGGGGCGTCAATGCTGTATCGTAAAACGGAGCGGTATATGGCAAGTATCTTAATCACGTTGGAAATATCCACCAAAAGACAGTCTGCCTCCACAAAATCTGGTTCAGCTACAACAGAATTCCGAAAATCTTTCACATACACAACAACACCACTATTTTGGTTAATGAGGTTCAAAGTTTTGTGTGAATTAAATCCAGGCATTTGAGGGATAACAGTGTTCCCATTGAGTCTACATTCGGTCAGGCAAATCACATCGTACTGTATACGTAATCGTTTCAGAGCAACTATTAAATTATCAAAATTTTTCGTAATACTTCTAATATTCACAGATAAAACTTTAAAATTATAATTCGAGTTAAGAATACTATCACTCTGTTCAGCTTTATTGATGATATGACAGTCTATTTTATACGTATATAATTCATCTAGTAACGAGTTTATAGCCATAAGAATAGCTTTTTATGAAAAAGTATAAATAACTGCGAAAGCGATATAGACTGATATGTATGACCCGCTTATAAAGTAAACTTATTATAATGTTAAAACTATAATGTTTTGTTGGCAGCTTTGTTTATTCATTCACTCAGTTCATACTATGACGCGACTTTAACATTAAAGTAATATTGTTCTTAAGCCAAATATAGCACTCTTAAAATAGTTACTCGGACGCAGTGGAAACAATATTATTTTCGAATTTGTTGTCTAAGTATTGATTTGTAATGATTAAGAGTTATGTTGAACTTATTTATTTACATAAATGTCTTCTATATCTTGTTTAATAGTACATAGGAAATAATTTCTCGTTAAATAAAAATACGCGGTGTTTATCTCGTAAAATTATAACAGTGACAACTATATGCTCCTTGGCGACGCTAATCATTGACACTAGACTATGATTCCGAATCCACAACGTAAGTATCATGACTCAGCTTGTTTTATTTATTAATAATTGAAAACAACGTAATTTTAATAGATTTTATTATTATATACTTTTCTTTTTTACAGTTAATATTCTGTGAATGTAAATAACATGAAGTACTTAAACATCAAACTACGATAAGACGATTCGGAACATCAAAAAAGAAAGAGATGGCATTATGTAGTTCATATAGCGTTATTTCTTTCCTATTTTTAGTAAGGAATACATAATATTGGGAAATAATTCGTTCTTTCAATCACTTTAGCAATAATTGTGGCAATGATACATTACTTGATTGACAGCTTGTTATGGTACCATGACATGTACGAATACGAATAATATTATAAGCTTACTTTATGCTTACATTGAAATAAGATTCTTTTTAGAAAGGTTATGGTAGGCCTCTGGTTTCCCAATTCCCAACAAAACCAAGTTTTACAATTTAATGCAGAAAAACTAGTCTTCGTCCACTATAATTTGCCTTTATTGGAATTTGGTAGGTACTAAATTTACAGATAACGTTATTTAACTTCAGTTCTTTCAGTTACAAGTAAATAAACACATACTATTATTTTTAACCAACAATTCAATTTATTTAGCGCACTGATTATGAATTTTTCTCAGTTTTAAATATCCGATATCCGGCCAGACATTGTTCTCCTATCCGGTATCCGGCCGGATATTGTTCTCCTATCTGGTACCCGGCCGTATAGTAAAAATAGGCCGGACACCAGATGGTTACCGGATATCCGTTTCATTCCTAAAAACAAGCATTTTGCAATATTTTTCAACGGTTTTGGTATTGAAATTGTTTCTAATCAAATATTTTATTTTAATCATTGATCGCGTTAGTTGCAAAAATTTATAGCTCAATTTATATAATAATAATAATTATTATATTATAATTTATAGTTCATTAAAACTTATATGTATATTATATTATGTTTCGTATCGATACCTACCTATACTAGCGAGCGCCTAAATATATCTTCCTAACGGTATGTACAGGGTCGACCACAGTACAATAAATACAGTAAAACTGCGTATGCATGTTTTTATTTAAATTGGACAGTATGGGAAAATCCGAAACCATAGAAGATAAAGGAAACTGTCTTAGAAACCATTAAATCTTTTTTTGTGAAAACAATTTTGGCATAGTCAATTTCTTGGTCAAATGTGAGTTTTCCATAAAAATGAACAAAATTTATCAATTTTTTTATTACTGATCGATTCAATTTCATAAAGGTATCATTTGTTTGTATGGGAGGAAAAAATGAGTACAGCAGAAGTTGGTCAAATTTTATAAAATATTTTTTCATACAAAATTAATAAAATGGACTATTTTTTAATGCTAATAGACTCAGTTCTCATAAGGATGGTTTCATTGTGTCGGAAGACAAAAGTTGGGACAGCAGAAGTTTTCAAAAAAAAAAGTTGAAAAAAATTTTCATACAAAATGAACAGTACACAATAGGAATGAAACTATTTTTCCGGATTTAATTCGCGCATATTTGTTTTTTCTAACAACGTTTCGGGCCCTTTACAGGTCCCACGGTCACGGTTGACCGGGGTGGTAATGTATTGTGTACTTATCGAGTTCTTAGGTTTTCGCGATTGTTATACATAGGAATGAAACTATTTTTCCGGATTTAAATCGCGTATATTTGTTTTTTCAAACAAACCGACGTTTCGGGCCCTTTACAGGTCCCATGGTCACGGTTGACAGTCAACCACAAGGAAGACTAGATAGAAGAACAACAACAAGGAAGAATAGATTTATGTCCTAAAATCATTGGAATATATAACGATAGTCGCGCCAAAACTCTGGGTAATATTTTTGGTGCGGCTATCATTTTTGCACTCCAAAACAGCACATTAAGGCATTTTGCTACGATTTTCGAGAATTTCCGCGAAAAAATGACAACCATACCAAACAAACCGAAAATGGCGGACTGAGCTCAAGTAGGTCTAACGAGACCTACTATTAGCACGCGTCAGAGACGCTATATAATTATGCACGTCTACTGTATTGAATGTTGTTTGTTTTAATGTGTTTTGGACTGCGTAAAAGTTGCCTCACACACTCCCACTTTTTTTTCTTTTCAAAACTGACCAACTTGTTCAATGTGTTCAATAGTAAATTGTGTCCTTTTTTAAAGATTCTCTTTGGTGGCACATGCGGCGTGTGTTACGGATAGCGACAGGGTATCGACACCATTCCCCTATATAAGCAATACTCTTTGATCGACACTGTACTCATGAGTAGTATCGCATAAAAAGTATCGCACTCATAAAAGTATCGATACCTTGAGATATCTATACTTTTGTTCTGCAGTTTTTCCCAACTTAAAGGTAGAATAAAACACATGAATTTGTCTTTTTTTTTTATTGATTTATAATTTTTAATTGAAACAAATAGTAAAAGAATTTGATTAATTCAATCAATTGATCACTTCAATCATCAGTCATTGCACACAATTTGTGTTACTTAAATTTCCAATTTCCCACTTCTTCTCTGTACATACAATCACTTGAAAACAAAAATCTATTTGGTGACGGTCTGTTTCTCGTTTCTGGTACCGTATTGCTTGCTTGACAAAATCTTTTAAAGAGGCAAATGGTGGCATACAATATAAAGTTATGTATGTAATTTGTGATAAAGGTTCCCATTAAAAAAAAAATCGCTAGGTGGCTTGCGTTATGATACAACGTGTCCCTAAGTAAGAATTATTTGAAACGATACGATACTTGTCAAAAAGTACTAATACCTGAAAAGTATCGAATGAAAAGCATCGCGTACATACCAAAGTATTGGTATCGGAGGGAAAAGTACTCGATACCAAAAAGTATCGATACTTTCTCCATGTACCTAGTTACAGATGCAAACACGAAACCTATCTTTCTAATTTGTGCACGAAACCACCACGAAACAATGAAAATCATAAACCACTAGATACTAGGTGCAAAAGTAAATTCGAGTTTCGAGAATTTATTTTTATTGGTCTGAACTCCAGCAAATCAGGAGTGTTGTATATTGATGACAGAAGACAAACGTTCTCAATGAACCACAGCAGACCATTTTGGTTGGTTGACGATTCATAAGTACAGTCCCACCAATCAAATATATGTATTTTGAACAATATTGTAATTGAAAACATACTTTCTGTCATTGCCTTGACGCATCGTGGGACGCTCGTTCATTTTATTCGCGCCGTATTTTTTTAATATTTTCAGATTTTCTCTCCAAAGTACGTTGTGATTGCGTATTTGATGATTGTAGAAATTCGGCTACGTGAAAACTTTAAAATTTTGACTATTGTTTCAGGCAATGTCGGGCATAGCTAGCGCTCGTTTAGCTGAGGAGAGAAAAGCTTGGCGGAAGGATCATCCTTTTGTGAGTGATTTTTATTGTGAGCTACATTTTCAAACTCGATTTTGGCGTCGTGGCTAACTTACACTTATAATATGTGATTGCAGGGCTTTGTCGCCAGACCGATGAAGAACCCAGATGGATCTCTAAACCTGATGACATGGGAATGTGCGATTCCGGGAAAAAAGGGGGTTAGTGCTTCTAGAACTTTTGTACCACGTCTAGCATTGCAATTCTTATGCATACAGCAGGCTTTAAGTGTAATTTAACGACCTAGTACTATGTGTGGTTGATTATGGCGTAACGTTTTCGGACAAAGGACCATAATCACGAGTTCAACCAAGTATTATAGTTTGGTTGTGACCATAAGTTTATAATGAAAATTTTAAACTTTTACAAATAAATGGTATTTTTATGTTCAACAAATTGTATAACTGTATACAAACTTAAGGAAAATTGCAACAATAACTACATTAATAACATTTTGTCTTCCAGACCCCCTGGGAAGGTGGACTTTACAAGTTACGTATGATCTTCAAAGATGATTACCCATCAAGCCCACCAAAATGCAAGTTTGAGCCACCATTGTTTCATCCAAATGTTTATCCGTCAGGAACGGTGTGTCTCTCTTTGCTAGATGAGGAGAAGGATTGGCGTCCGGCAATCACAATCAAACAGATCTTACTGGGCATCCAGGATCTACTCAATGAACCTAATGTCAAAGACCCTGCACAGGCTGAGGCATATACAATTTATTGGTAAGATGCTTTTTTAATCTGTGATTCTGCGATAATATAACTAGAGTTCTGGTTTCAGAATTTGAAAACACAAGTACAAAGATGAAACATTAAAATATTTAATAATTATAAAATAAAAATAATAATTCAGTTACTCTAATACTCAAAATACTGATACTAATATTTGGAAGTATATCTGTGAATATTTCTTAAGACTATGAGGTATCGAAAAATTAATGTCTAATGACATTCTCCTTGTTCTGTGCTACTAACACTCTAGTATTAAGAATTATTTGAATTTTAGCAGTGCCATGTTTGTAAATTAACCTAAATTAAAATTTAATAATTATAGTAATACTACCAATATTAAAAATTTTGCTCCCTTAAGTATTTAGTTAAAGAATTTCCTGATTTGAATTTTTCACTAAATAGCCTGTTTAAATGTGGCCCGAACTTTAGTACGGCTATTTTGTACTTTTGACTCTTAATATTAAGTTCAAATTTAATTTGTTACAGTCAAAACAGACTAGAGTATGACAAGAGAGTACGGGCACAGGCACGCGCAATGGCTGCTACAGAGTGAAGACTAAATCACCAGGAATGTTTGTGGGGCCATGGCCTCACTGCAGCTTTACTATACACATTTCAACACTTCAGACATCCTAGTGTTCTATACTACTAATGAATTGTCGCAATTTTTAACAGCAATAATTAAGGGTTGATGCTACTTTTGCAGCACTCACACCTAGTTATCCTTTTTAATAGGAGTTCAACACAAGTTCAAAGAGTGTGAATTTTGAGCTATGAGCTCAAATGAAGCGAGGTCATGGCCTAGATTTAGATATAAGTGCAATTGAACCATTCACTGTAGTGAAACATTATCATTTGCCATAGTTTGTGGTTCAAGAGCTTCTATTTAATAGACTTAGCGATTTCAATCAACAGTTTCATAACTTGCTGTGCTGCCTTCAGTTCACATATTAGTATTAATGTCAGTGTAATATTTATTGTTTATCTTCAAAGCATTTCATAGTAAGATAGCATTGAAACAGGGATGTTTTACCGATGATGTACACCATCTGTTGAAACAAGACATAATGTTCTGCAAATGGAGTGAAGATGAGAATCTACTATTATTATTTGAAACTATTTTTGTATCTTTATGTTAGACTTATCGAACAATAAATGGCTAAAAATATTGTGTTGCATTTCTTTTCGATGAACAATTTGAGATTTGCTTTTGTGTCATTCATTAATGAGATGATTCGAGTTGTATGTCATGCATAACGTGAGTTATGAATGACAGTTATTTGTTGGTTGGTAGGTGTATGGTTGGTATAAATTATCCATATTATGTCGATTTCTCAGTGATTGGATTCATGTTTGCGGACGGATTAACAAATCAGATTATGGAAAAAAACTGATAAGTAACAGTATGGGTTTAGTACTATGGAAGGAAGCTACAGAAGATTATGTAGAACCAGAAATCGCTGCGTCTATAAAGCTAGCATGACCCTAGATAAGGCCTTTGAATAACAACTTTACATGTAGCCTGTACTAAGTGAATATGTGGTGAATATCACATATTAAAATAATATGCTGGAGAAATGACCCTATTAAAAAGTTAAGCATCGTTTACATTGCGACATTAGTTGCTTTAGCGATATATATATTGTATTCAACTTTTATACTATGTGGCTTTAGCTTAGCTTTCATGAAAAAAAAAGCAAAGTATTTAATGGAATAGCAATGGATATTTTCAATTTGACAGGTCCTTTTGGAGGGAAAAGTTTCGTTTTTATTTTTCAATTATTTTGTGAAATATAGTTTAAAGTGGAATAGGATATTGTGCCTTAATCGAAGATTAAAACGCGAAATTATACGAATCTCGAACTAGAATACTCGTATCGGCTCGTTTTAAGGAATCCCGAGTCAATCCAAGCACGCCGCCTTAAATTGCCTATCCTCTTTGTGGCGGCCATATTTACAGAAACATAATTAAACTTCATGTTTAGGCTGATGGCTTTGCCAAAGCCTTAATAAATAAAAAAAATGGATATTTTCAACAGTAGTACATGATTTTGCTGCATTTTTTAAATTCATGGTTTGGAGTACTTCTTTCAGTACTTGTGCTGTTGGGTAATTTTTCGAAAAATTTTAAATAGCAGAGATTTGTCGTTCTTCGTTTAGAAATATCTTTTGAAGTTTATTCGTGAATTATAAAATAAAATTAGAAAGTAAGAGAAAACCGAGATTATGAATGATTAGACAACAGCGAAAAAAACCTTTTGCGGTCTTGAAAGTTCAACTTTATGAAGTTCACTTCAACTTTTTACCGGTGTCAATGTCAAATGTAGAACAATATTCTATAAATGTTCGGAAATTTTTTTCTGATAAATACGATTTTTTTTAATGGAATGTTTTCCATGATGCTACACTACCATTACCCACCATTACTCATGTGTGCGTGTTACAGATAACTGTAGACAAGTGTGCGTGTTGGTCGACGTATTGACGTGCAATCGAAGCATAGTTGTTTTGTACCATAGAGTAAAAAACTTCTGTTTTCATAAACAACCATAGACAAATATGTCTCTGTTTTGCAGGGCTGGTGTCAGGAGCGTTACCAATTTGTGAGGAATTCCCGAATTTGCGGGGAATTTCAACTAGATTGGGGATTGGCTTTATGTGGGGAAAATGTGGTGATTTTAACATTTTATCATTTTGTTTAATCTATCAATTGCTGATGCATCGCTAGTTTGATCGTTACTGTTAAAAATACTGTGATGAAGTATATCGTCGTGTTTTTCAACATCGTACATCCCTCGTATTATTTACAAGCAGCTTAAATAGAATTATTGTTAGAGCACATGGTTCTGAATTGTAAAATTACCAGTCGGTGCGTGTTGAGTTCACGATTCTTTCTCCCGCTTAGGTCGGTCCCCGGTAAGAAGCAAAACGAAATCAGCTATTGATGTTGTACTTCCACACCACAACTTACCACTTGTGAGCTTGAAATATTAAATATATGTCGAAACTTATTGATTATTTCTAGCATTAACATAGTGTCACCAAATGCACAACAAATAATCAATTTTCTTAAATTTGTAAGACAAAAAAAAATATTTTTTTTTATGTTGAATCTAATTAAAAGAAATAAACGATTTAAGATCATCTAATTTTATAATTAGTTTTACATTTTACATTCTGTTTACATTCACAGCAAACGTAATAGATGGTTACATTTTGAGTTTCTTAATTTGTTAGTATATTTTTAAGCGATGTACTTCTAATAATAATAATACGAATTTAAAATGGTTGTCAAAGGGAATAAGAAAGTTCTGTATCACTAAAAGAAAATTACGTATGAACTATTACAAAAAAGACACAAAATAGAAAGACTCTATATAAAACCTACACAAAAATTTTGAAACGGCATATCATTACCGCTCAAAAGCATTGCAATGATAGATCCATGGTCAATGTTAAAAACAAAAGCTACTTGGAACATAATAAACAAGAAGGACAAACATTTTATTGAACATATTACCGTAAATAAAATTAAGATTGAAAATCCTCGAGGATTAGCATCGGAGTTTAACACTCATTCTTTAAATTTAAACTTTTCGAATACGGACCCGGGACAAGATAGTAACAATATTTTTTTACCGAAGGTGCATGAGTCTAGTTTATTTTTATATGCCACTGACGAAACAGAAATAAAAACTTTAATAAAATCCCTCAACAACACAAACGAGATTGAGACCCACAGATCAGAGTTTAAAGTTAATAAATACGGTGTGCCTCAAGGAAGTATTTTACGTCCTGCTGTTTTTATTGTATGTTAATAACCTCCCTGAAATGATAAAATATCCATGCACTCTTTTTGCAGATGACATATCAATCATTATTAATAAGAATTCTGACAGATTATGAAAAATAAATAAATGACACTTTATGTAATATTATTGACTGGCTTAAGAGAAATAATCTGAAAGTAAATGTTTCAAAAACAAAGCTCATACAATTTTATAATTATAATGGAAAGCCCCAGACACTCTCTGTAAGTTGTCATGGAGATGAAATTGTAGAATGCTCATCCAGCAATTTTCTCGGCATAGTATTGGACTCTCAACTGACATGGAAACCACAGGTTGATTCAGTATGTGCAAAGTCGAATTGATTTGTATTTGGTTTACATCGCCTAACGCACATATGTGATCAGAGGACTGCCTTGATGGCCTACCATGCATTTGTCTGCTCAAGCTTGCGGTATGGCCTCATCATCTGGGGGAACTGCGTAGATCTAAACCATGTATTTGCTATCCAGAAAAAATGCGTCAGAGCTATACGTAGAGTAGGTCCGCTCGAATCTTGTAGACCGCTTTTTAGAAAGCTAAATCTTCTAACGCTTCCTGCTACGTACATATATGAGGTATGCATGTTTGTTAAAAAAAAAACTTGGTCTTATTTACTAGGAAACGTGAAGTATGTAATTTTTTAACTAGATATCCAAACCGCTTAGCTGGCCCCTCCCACAAGATTATTTGCTTTCATAGGAATTGCTATAACATTTATACAATTATACATATAATGCTTTGCCTGCAGCTATCGCAGACTTACCTATAAAAATATTTAAAAAAAGTTATTTGATTTGCTATGTGATCTGTGTTTATATGATATCAAAGATTTTTGAATAATAAAAGGAAATTGACATTTTGTTTGTATTTAACATTTTCTTTATATTTGTGCTGTTCTTACTTCTTTGATATTGTTTAATTTATAATTTGATTGCTGTTGCTATTTATTGCCGTTTTTACTTAATTTTATTTGACGTTGCTTATTTGACAAATTGTATAATTTTAATATATGACATTATTTAACTTCATTTTATTTTAATATTTGCAATATCTGGTGCAACAGTGTTCTTGACACCTTGTATAATAATATCACTGTTGTTACCGTTTTTGCTTGAGAATAAACATTTCATTTCATTTCATCTCAAAAATAAATAATGAAAACTAGAGATGTGGGGAATTTGAACTGTGCTCACCCCAAATTTGGGGATTTTAACCGTGATATTTGGGGATTTTGAACAATTGGCATTGGCAACACTGGGTGTCAGTCAACTGCAAATTTGACTGCAAAATCGACAAAAGTGCTTTTGTTTGGTTTGGTGAGGAGTTCGGCTCGAGCCCGGAGAAAATTAATTTGCATTTCATTGTTTTTATTGTTGGTCCATTTATTCCCTACCTTATAAACTAAATTCATTCCTAAAACTTAAATTATCATGGCTGACGACGAGCCAGAATCGAAAGAATATCGGTGGGAAACAGGATATGAAAAAACTTGGTGAGTTAATAATTTATTAGAAAACTTTATATAATAAACACACTGAATGGTAATTTATTACAGATAATATAATTTATTTCACACATTTTTGCATGATATATAGAGACATTTTAGGAATTTTGTAGGTTAATTTCTTATTCTTAATGAACAGGGAAGCCATCAAAGAGGATGAAGATGGCCTGGTGGAAAGTCTGGTGGCGGAGTTTGCGCAGAAAGCGGCGCGAAAGGCTGCGGCGCCTCGTCGTGGACCTGTGAGACTAGGCATGATGAGACATCTACTTGTAGCCATAGATTGCTCGGATGCTATGAATTCGCAAGACTTGAAACCGTCCAGGTTTCTCTGTACTCTGAAGGTGAGTCGAATTATAAATCTCTAAAATTAAATCTTAAAAAAACTAAGTTGTTTTACTTACACTAGTAAAAAATGCTGTCACTGTCACAACATACTTGTTGTTGGAATATTGTACCGCTTACTATGGAGAAAAAGAATTGAGGGTTTTTCCTAAGATGAACATTGAGATGTTTATTATACACTAATCAGTTAAAAAATGTTATACCTATTTAATATATTTTTAATAATTCATATTTGTATTTTATTTATTATTATTTAATTACTCGTCAATATGGTTTACAGCTACTAGAGAAGTTCGTAGAAGAATTCTTTGATCAAAACCCTCTGAGTCAGCTGGGTTTGATATCCATGAAAAATAAGCGATCAGAGAAGATAACTGAGCTCTCTGGTAACGTGAGGAAACATCTCAAAGCAGTGCAGGGGTATGAAAACTGTGAATGAAAATTTTTTTATTACATTATATTCTTAATTACCGCACAGAGCATTATTTGCCAATGGGGGTTGTATCTCCTAAACAGATTTCTTACCGTGCCACAATATTCCTTGATAATGAAGGTTAAGGAAGGAAAGGACATTAAGTTTTTGGAAAATTTATTTATACCTAACTTAATCAACATTTTAGAGACATAAAAAAAAGTTTAAATAATTTATTTCACAATTTTTTCAGCTGCAGTGCAATAATAGTTTATCTGCCACTGTGGCCAATGGTTACCATGCTAGACTGTCACACAGAGTTCCTGGGTTCAATTCCCGGGCTGGGAGAAATATTTGGATAGGATACATTTACTTCTCTTGTGAGTTTGGGTGTATATATTTGTGGTTGTCTATGTGTCTATACCCGCGATACAGGGTTGCCCTAGTGTGGGGCTATGAGTGTGTGTGTTATTATTATGGTAGATCAGCTTCTCCCATTAAGCATACGTCTATATGTCTACGTATCCGTCTTGGGGACGCATACGTCTTGGGAAATTTAGTTAAGAACATATTTGGGATCAGCAACAGGAGATCTACAACCCCTCTAATTGTTTTTTTAAAATCATAGTTTCAGTTTTATTGTTAAGTAAAATCAATGTAATTGATTTTTTTTTTTTTTTTTGTAATTTGTAAGTTATTTTCTAGTAAAATAACTTTAATTTCTCAAATTTAATTATATTCATTCATTTAAATGTTAAAATTCAATTCGTTTAAAAACTAGATTAATTACATAATTATGTTAACCCGCAGCGTAGGCTTCGTCAGGAAGACACAAATATAAATCAACAACAGGCTTCGACACAAAGAACTTAATAATTCAATTCGCTATGCTTTGGTAACATCTCAAATATTACCAAAATGCAAACGCCTTAGTTATGACAAGGAGGGCAGTCTGATGAAAACTAGAATTCTAAGACTATATTATGAAACACATGGTTTTAGGGAATATTAAGGTTTAGGAACCTTTTTTTTATAAATAATATTATACTATTTTTCTGTTCCTTAGGGTGTAAAGCGCTTTTGGTAGTGCAATGCAATTGGAATGTAGCTCCTGTGATTGTGCACTCAAACACGCAACATATTGTCCCTTTCCTTATGAGAGTACGGTGCAATTAGCCAGTGTCCGTAACTTGATGTTTAGATAGCTATTTTACTTGTGGTTGGTCCTACTACAGGGTTTTACTTGTCTCCCTGAACTCTTGTATCCTCCTGGCCTCCTGGGTTAGCTGAAGACTTTGGGGACTGACCTCGGCATTCGGAGGTTTTTGGCCGTGGCTATGCTGCAGCACTGTAGTAAGTTATTCGCGGTCGTTTCCTTCCCCTCCACACACACTCTATAGAGTACGCACGCACTGCATAGAGGTCTGGGCTCGCGCTTTTCGTTGATCCAAACATACTTAACATGTAAATTTTTACGTAATACATTCATTGGTTTAGAACGCGTTAAATGTTTGTGTTTTTAACTGACTTTAAAAAAGAAGGAACTTCTCAATTCAATGTTTTTTTTGTGTGTATGTTACGCGATTACTCCAGCATTTGTGAACCGATTTTGATGATTATTTTTTTGTTGGAAGTTGGTACTCAACTGAGTATTGATCCCATTTAAATTAAAAGATAATATTGCACCTTTAGAGGTGGAATATTATTATAATGGAGCCTTGACTGACAAACTAGGGGATGAATCCGCTGTCAATAAAACTTGGCAAATAGATGCAATTCCACGAACTTTTGAGGTTGGATTTTTTTGAATAAAAAAGGTATTATTTTTAATGTATTATGTTTAATCAAATACTAAATAGATATTGGACATGATCTACAGCTCGAGATGTGAAGTGCTGAATGGAATATATAACTTTGAAATTTGTTATGATTGTTAGTCAGTTGAGGGGTGATATGACACTTCTAAAATCAATTTATTTTTTCAGATTAACTGACTTGGCGTTGAATGGGGAACCGTCGTTGCAAAACACACTTGAATTCGCAGGGCGAGTGTTACGTCCTTTGCCGGGGCACGCTTCTAGGGAAGTACTTGTGCTCTTTGCGTCACTCACCACTTGCGATCCTACCGATATTAATACAACTATACAGGTTAGATTTTTTTCATGTAAAGCAAACTCATAAAATTTCATTAGTTTGTTTTATATTATTTTATTTTTTTATTTACAACCTTTATTGCTGATAACTTACTAACTTATCTAACACATTGTATGACATGCCTACTTATTCATTATTACTCAATTTCTTGACTCAGTACCTTCAGCTTGTCCTAAGACATAGGCCTCTTCCAGAGATTTCCATTTCTCCCTATCTTTTACTGTTTGTCCCATGTGCCTCCAGCAACATATTTTAAATCGTCTTCCCATCTAAAGTAAGGTCTCCCTTTCGTCCTTTTCCCCTCTATTTGGTATTCTTCTACTATCACTTTTAACTCTTTTCTTTTATTCAGTACTTCCTTTGGTAGATCTTCGGTGGCATAGACTTTACTAGGAAAGCTTTTATTATTTCTTTTCAAAACTTCGGTTTTTCTCCAAACTAAGGTCAGTGATACCAGAATAGGTCTCGTGTTTGTTTCTTTCTTCTTACTGAGTCTTAGAACTTTGCTTATTTCCCGTTGATCCCATTTTTCTACTTTTGCCTGTTCACTGAGGTTATTTCGGGTTGTCATAACTATTTCTAGAAGCTCCTTGCTATTGCTTTCACTTTCGTCTATTCATGCAAAATCTGGTTATTTTTCCTGGCCTCTCTCTGTAATCCTTGTAGTTTGTCGTTGAATACTTCTATTTCCTTTTTTAATTCCTTATTTTCTTCTATAATCGGTTTCAATTTTTCCTCAATAGTTTGAGATAAAGTGATGGTTAAGTTTTCTGTTATAGTTCTAGTTTGGATTTGCATTTCATATTTTAGTTTCTCAAAATGGTCCGAAATTTGTTTATCCATTCTTGCTCTTACCTTTTGTACACTTATTTATATGTACAGTAATTTCACTTTCTTTCTTTCCCTCTCTTGCAATGTTTGTTTCTGGTGGTGTAAGAGCGAAATTAATTTTATTTGCGTGTATCCGAACGTGCTAAAAAGAAACTCGAAGATAGAGCCATGAAAATCTGTCGGTCGCTCGAGATGACGAACAAACAAGAAAATCGTTGTCTATGGCCGGGGATTCGCTCTGGACCTTTTGGAGGGAAAAGTTTCGTTTTTTTTTCAATTATTTTGTGAAATCTAGTTTAAAGTGGAATAGGATAGTGCTATTGTGCCTTAATCGAAGATTAAAATGCGAAATTATACAAATCTCGAACTAGAATACCCGTATCGGCCTGTTTTAAGGAATCCCGAGTCAATCCAAGCACGGCCTATCCTCTTTGTGGCGGCCATATTTACAGAAACATAATTAAACTTCATGTTTAGGATGATGACTTTGCCAAAGCCTTAATAAATAAAAAAATAAAAAATTGACTACAAAAATGACCTCAAAACTCGTAGTTATATTGTTGAATCTTCTAAATTTCGCGTTCCCGCGATGTTGTTTCTTTGCTGAGTTTTGAATAAACTTGGTTGCATTTAGTTGTGTTGCGATTTTAGTGGGATTATCACTGTTTTGTAAATATTATGTACGCTAGCACCAGTAACTAGTATTCTTCAATTGACAGCCGGAACTTGTTTTATATACAAACAAATAAATATTTTCACCATCACGAAATATATAAAGCTTAAATTGATTTGTTTTTAAGTGTTGAAGTTCAGATTGTTATTATGTTAAGTTATATTATGTTGGTTTTGACTTTAATATAGCAACCAGTGTAATTTGTATAAATTTTCTAATTTTTATTTTATTACTCAAATTATTGGGTATGAAATATATAATAATAAGTTCATGTTTTTTGTAGACATTAAAGACAGATGGCATAAGATGTTCAGTAATTGGACTGGCAGCTGAAGTGAGGATATGCAAGAAATTGTGTCAGGATACTGGAGGGGAATATGGGGTAAGGAAATATTTAATAAAAATTGGACAACTTTTGACCCATCAATGTGCGCTCGCGCCCGCTTCCTCTCGTTCTCACTTTTATTCGTGCCCCGCTTCCGTTTCCGCGCCCGTTCCAGATTTCGCTCTAGCGCGCGCTTTCGCTCTCGTTGTAACTTTATTCATGCCCCGCTCCGCGCCTGGTACGCGCCCGCGCCTGCACCCGCACCTGCGTCCGCGTCCGCGCCTGCTTCCGCTCTCGTTCTCACTTCTATTCACGCTCCCGCTTCTGTTTCCGCGCCCATTCCTGGTCCCGCTCTCGCGCCCGCGCCCGCTTCTGCTCTCGTTCGTTCGCACCTCTATTCACGCTCCCGCTTCCGCGCCCGTTCCTGGTTTCGCGCCGGCTCCTGGTCTCGCGCCGGTTCCTGGTCTCACGCCGGTTCCTGGTCTCGTGCCCGCGTTCGCGACAGCCAACGTGCCTGTACTTTTTTAATGTAGATAATATAATTAGGCGTTAAACTTCACGTGTGTAACTTAGCTTCGTCTTATCTTATTAACTTATGTATGTGTATGTATGTAATATAATATGACGTTGTCGACTTCGGTGGCCTAATGTGGGCGTTGGATGCGGAGGTCCCGGGTTCGATTCCCGGTAAGACAGGTAGGTTTTGTTCTGTGTGTGTCTAGGAAAGTGCCCAGAATCCCGTTGTTCTGGTGATAGTACAGGGAATTCCCTAGTTTGAGACCAGGCAATTGATATGGTTATCTGGCACATATTAAGTATCTACGATATAGTGGTGGCAGTCTTGTCTCTAACAATTTGGTTTGCAGCACTTGACATATTTTTATTCATGTAGGTTCTTTAGCCTCCCACTGTGGTGTAAAGACATTTCCAATCGGTTCTGCCTATATTTGCCTTTCGCTGCTTTCAAAGTCTTAAACCAAGCATAACGAGCATGGTCGTGGTTTCAAAAACTTATTAATACGTATTGCGTATTTTTAGGACAATCACAGCTATTTTATTAGCAGTGCAGCTTCTTGTGAAAGAGTTCGTCCTGGGATGTACTGCCACATTACCTAATTCTGCCGTCAAGCGGTAGTGCGAGCATCACTACGTTCCGGTTTGCTGTGAAATTACAGACACGTGGCACTGCCTAAGATCTTTGCGATTTAAAGCACTGAGTGGTTCGTTAATCTCGAATTTCATTTTATTATTCCCTTTCGATCGCGGCAATAAACAAACATTAATTGGAATTTTTTATTCCATTTGTTACCACTGGCAACTCCTGAGATATTTTAAGTTCCATTTGTCGCCTGTGGCAACCACAGATCTTTTTATCCCATTTGTCACCACCTGGTAACAAACGGATTTTTTCCCATTTGTCGCCAGTGGAAATACCACTGGCAACAACTGAAATTTTTTTATGCCGTTTGTCACCTGGTAACATACCGACGCCTTATTTTCTCAAACTCGTATGTTTTAAAGAGTGATTATTCAGGAGAAGGCAAAACTTTCTATTAATTTTAAATTTCTTATTAAGGGTGTTAATTTGGATGCATTACTTTAAGAATAGGTAAAAGCCAGTGTGTGAATATGAAGGAAATGTGATGTGAAATCAGACTGCAAAATTCGTATATACAATCCATTTTTTGCATTTCAACAACTTTGTGCTTTAAGATACGAGTTTGAGAAAACAAGGCGACGATATGGGTTTTTTCCCATTTGTCGCTAGTGGGAACAAAGCCAGTGGTGACGACTGGGAATAAATGTAAAAAAAACTTAGATTCACAAAAAATCTGCTAACATTTCAATTTGTCAAGGTGGTCTTAGACGACGTTCACTACCGCTCCTTATTACTGGACCACACGTCGCCACCGCCGCGTGCACGCGCTCTCGACGCAGGTCTCGTTAAGATGGGCTTTCCCCACACTGCGCCGCCCGATAATGCGACCGATCCTAGCAGCAATGCGGAACCCCCTATCGCTGTTTGCATGTGGTAAGTATGCAATTTTATAAAATTATACGTTACTTGTATTGGGCATAAAGAGTCAAAATGTGTAAAAATTTTAGTAGCAGCAGAGTCCTTGTGAAAGAGTTCGTCCAGTGATGTAGTGCCACCTTATCTATTTCTGCCGCCAAGCAGTAATTACAGCATTGCTGTGTAAGGGTGCTGGTGAAATTACTGGCACATTGCGCAGTAGCAGTGCGCCTCAGATCTTTGCGACTTAAATCTGGCACTGCAACTGTTATGGACAGGCGTGTAGCTTACCATGGGGTGCACGACTTGTTCATCCCGTCACTTAATATTATTTAAAAAAATTGATACTATAATTTTGTTTCGTACTTATGTGTGTTTTGTTGAAATCAAATTGACAAGTGCACTACCAACATAGTATAATGAGCAAATGGGGCAACTCCCGGCTGTTCGGCGCGTAAATGTCTACAATATGTTTGGAGCGTAGGGTTGTTACATTGTGATTTCAGTTGTACCTACGGGTTGTAAACATTTTGGTGCTCATGACATTTTTCTCGTTCTATATGTATAGAAATAACCTTTGTTAAATGCAGTAAATACTTACGTATTGATATTTTTATACCATCGCGGATTGGTATCTTGATTATGGAGTATGATTATGAATTAATAATTTATTATATTATTATTATGAAATGGAAATGGAAATGAAATGCTGTACAATTCTGAATTTGAGGTACTCTTGTACAACCACAAACACAACAAACGTGTAATTTTTCACAATTTAAAAAAAACAATCACACATAGCTACATTTTTCCGGTAAATGGTTCGTCACCTTGGTCCGGCGATACCTCTTAGTTTTTCTGAAGCATCTTTCTAATGCATTAGATGTTTCTGAGATAAGTTTGTTTGTTGCACAGCCACTTAGAAGAGGGTGAGGGTGTAGGCGGCGAAGGAGAGGGTCATTTATGCCCGCAGTGCCGCAGCAAATACTGTTCTCTGCCCGCGCAGTGCCGCACCTGTGGTCTCACACTGGCTTCAGCACCGCATCTCGCTCGGTAAGTTTCAATTTCCTTTTCAAAACAGTCCGGTGCGATGCACGCTCAGATTCGGACGTGCTCACACAGTAAGAATTATATTAATTCGCGATCCGCGCGGTAATGACCGCTGCGCGTAATTGACTATGGGTTCCCAACAACTCATAGCCAATGAACTACTGGCGTTCATACAACACGCCATCGACACTATGGACGAGGTCAGCATCATGCAGATCTGCAAATCAAACTTTAAAGCAGATGAGATTTGCAGTGGCAAGGCGCTGCTTTTCCGTGTGCTTGGCAAGGCCGAGCAGATGCCATCTCGCCGGAGGGATGGAGGAACGAAGAGTATCCAGGACATTATAACGATGTTAAAGGAAACCGACCCAGACGACGTGCCTGCTTTCGTGGCAAAGGAGCTGCACAAGCTGCCCCCTGTCACGTTCGACCATGTCGATGTCACTAGGCTGCTTAAGGACATCACATCCCTGAAAGCAAGTCTGGCCGAAGTTCAATGTAAATTGGAGGCTTCGGATAACACCATCTGTGAGTTACGTGCCCAAGTTGTATTACTGAGTAGTGCAACTTCGGTAAGTAGGTCACCCGAGGCCTGTAACGTGAATACTCGTCGCGGGGCTCATAATGCATCTATCGGCAGTTTTGAGTCGGCCCATATGGATGCGTCACCAACCGCTGTCGCTGAGTGCGATTCCCCGCGCCCCGCCCCTCGATTGTCCGCTCCGGCCGAGGCGTCACGCGTAAACACGCTGACCCCTCCACGTGATTACGCCGCTGTCGCAGCTGTTAACCGACCCGTTGCTCCACAACCACAAGCCAGGCAGCTATCAACGAAGGGGATGAAAAAACCTCGTGTACCTGTCTCTGAAGTTGCAAAACCACAGAGGCAGACGGACCGGTGCGACGATGACGGCTTCACAAAGGTGGAGAAGAAGAAGAGGAAGCCCACCAGCCGTAACCTGTGCGGCACTGCACCGACAGGGTCCAACTTTTTGCTGCGTCCGGCAATCCCGACAACGCTGCTGTACCTGTCACGCCTGCATTACTCCACGAAGTCTGAGGAGATAGTGGAGTACATCAGGTTGAAATCCAAATACACCCTGAGGGTCGAGCGGTTGGAGTCCCGCCACTACGTGAACTTTAATTCGTTTGTGGTGAGAGTGCCGACCGAACATCTGTCGACCTTCATGAAGGAGGAGTTCTGGCCGAAGGGTGTCCTATACCGGCGATTCCGTGGCCGGTTGCCTGACACCAGATGGCGCCACACGTCGCCGACAACCTAAATACGTGTTAAATTAGTAATAGTGTTATTTTATATTGTTATGTATGTTAGTCTGTAAGGTATGTATCTATGGGTCTCAGTAACCTGAATATAAATAAAGAAATAAAAAAAATAAAAAAATAAAAATGCGACGCTACTGTTGCATCGTTCATATTTCTTCTGCATTCTTTCTGCTTGCGACCGACTCTACAGTCGTACTTTATCCGGTCCATGTTCCTTGTATTAGCTATATCACAGGTTCCCAAACTTTTTAGCTCACCGCCCACTTACGCAAGATAAAAAAAATTCAAGGCCCACCACCAAAAAACGTATTTTTTATTAACAACAAAGATATATTTGATGTGTAGTTTATATAGATAACTCGGGTTTTTTTTCAAATGCCCGTCAATTGCTTCCCACTTCGCACGCTCTTCAGCGCCCACGGGGGGGCGATAGGAAGCAGTTTGGGAAACTGTGCTATACCATCAATCAATAAATCAAAAGGACTGCTAATCTCCATACTGCAGATCGTATATCGTATAGCGCGGCCCTTCCGGCTGGTTTAGTCAGAATGTCATTAGGTACTACTCAATACTGTCGTCCGCTGTTGTAGTTATACAACGCGGCTAAGGGATACCATAACACAGTTTTAGAATATTGAAATATAAGTTATATTATAATTTATATAGATAAGTTCAGATAAGTCGAACACGTTAACTATTTTCAACTGTTTTTAAAAGAGAATTTTGTGCTTTTGCTATTTAAAACGGATAGTTCACCATTTATCTCTTAGCCGCGTTTTTTATTTATTTATTTATTTATTAAGGTTCATCAACAATTGTTACAACAACATTATGATTGGTTACTAATTGCAAGGTTAAGTATTATACTAATTGCACAATTTTTTACAGACGAACACAGCATGCAAGTAAATTAGTGGACACAATTAAGTAATCCGTATTGGACTCGTATTTATGGATACATTTTTATAGTAAACAAAAAGAAACAAAATAAGTAAACCTAAAGTGTAATACAATAAAGTGTATTCTGCTACTAAAGCTTAAAAAAAAGAAAAAGAAAATAGGTCACGATGACGTGATAGACCTACGGAATTTAATCAAGGAGACGTGAAATATATCTAAATTATTGATATTAATGCTAAGATGATTATATAAGGTACATAAACGAGGAACTGGCGAGTTGCGACCCGCTACAGTCCTGCGAATCGGCATCGAAAAGAGTGCTTTGATTCTGTTTTAGTTAGTGGACGGCAGAATATATTGTTCAAACCTCAAAAATCCCTTTTCCCAAAATGAGAGGTTTTCTAAATAGGTATCTTTGTTTTTAAATGTCGCAGCCAGAAATAATCAACTTATTAGATAAACCTGTAGCATAGTACTTTCCATATGTGACTGCAGTTGTTTTGTGTCATAGATACTTCCGTTACTAAAGAAAAACTATAATTCGAGTTTTTACGATTAGGTTTTTACGATTGTTACACATTGGAAATGAAACTATTGTGAAACTACTATTATGAAACTGCCTCCGTGGCCGAATGGTTACCATGCCGGACTGCCACGCAGAGGTCCCAAGTTCGATTCCCGGGCCGGGAGAAATATTTGTATGGCCTACAATTATTTCGCTCGTGAGTTTGGGTGTAATTTGTGGTTGTCTATGTGTGTGTCCATGGCACCCGCGACACAGGGTTTCCCTAGTGCGGGGATATGTTGAGTGTGTGCGTTATTTATAAAAAAAAAAATAATAAAAAATTGTTTCGTATATAAATAGCGTATATCGTACCTTGAAAACAACACCGTCACTAAATGAAGATGTGAACTTATGGGAAATGGACATAGTTTCTGAAATTGATTTTAAGTTTGAAAAAGCGACAATTTCGTTTAGTGATGGTGGTGTTGTTTTCAAGGTGCGATATATTTTTGTTTTTTCAAACAACCTAGCCTTTTGCTGGAGTTAATGACCACAGTTGTGAACATGGGATATGTAAAGGTTCCGAAACGTTGGTTTGTTTGAAAAAACAAACATACGCGATGTAGATTTAATTTCCCAATATTGTAACGCATTCTTGGTAATGCAGATGTGATAAGGTCACATCTGCAAAACGTAAACTTTTCCGATGAAAGGTTTAAGATTCTACGAATGAAATAAGTAAATCACATTTTTAGTAGCACTAGAGCTCCTTCTGAAAGAGTTCTGCCACCTTACCTATTTCTGCCGCCAAGCAGTAATGTCAGCATTACTGTGTTCCGGTTTTGAAGGGTAAAGGTGCTGGTGAAATTACAGACACATGGGACTTGCCAACTTATGTTTCAGGTGACAGGCGCAGTGCACCTCAGATCTTTGCCGTTTAAAGCTTTGAGTGGCACTGCAACTCTTATGGATAGGCGTGTTTACCATCTGGCGCACAATTTGTTCATCCCGCTACTTGATATTATAAAAAAAACTTTTTTATGGTTAAATAGGCGATTATGAAATTTTACATAATGCGTATTTTGTTTCAACTAGTTCTTATTATTTTTATGTCTTTCATGTGATAAAAGCTTCCTTTCCGATCTGCAATGTAAATTGAGCTTAAATATCGTAAAGATCATTTAGAGTTAATTATCTTAAAAATTCACTCCATGTCGTTTCAGATCGTACCATCACTTATTTCCCGTGGAGCCGTATGAAGAGTTGAATAACGAAGGGCAAGCACAATATTGCTTTGGTTGTTTGAGATCTTTCACAGATGTTGATAAACAGGTTGGTAATACAAAATCTTCTTTTGTTGTATCTATATGCCTGAAAAGTTTCCTTGAAAGAGAGTGAAAGTTACCGTGTTTGTATATCTATGCGGTTTGTCAGGGTATAAGATGATTGTATTGAACAACTTTTCTAGATTACTTTCCTCCAAATACCTTTTTGATTAATTACTTCTTGGATTGTTTATTAAAGTGTCTTGTTCAGTTTAAAAAAAGGGGAACAGCCTTCTTGTTAACAAATTCAAATATCGAGTCTTTATATTTTTGTCGTGTCCAACCTCTATGGATGACCAGCATTCAGCCCCCGTGGATTGGCTACAACGACAGACTGAATAGACTGGTAGAGATTCAAAATTAGATCGACTTTCTTTTGGACAAAAGATAACGAGTGCTGTCTTGATTAACCCTCTGATAAGAGACGACGTCTCCCTGTGGATATCCTACATTTGTAAAGATATTCAGGATACCTACCATGCACTAGATAGTCGAGATCGTATTCATAATTTAAACAAAACAGTCACTCTGAACCTCGACTGACTCGTAAGGTTAAATCCTATTTTATATTGATCTACGAACATTTTGGCGATTGTCGCCACATCTGTGCCATCTAAATGTCTTTTCTCACTGGTTAATATCAATCTAAATGAAAATCGTAACCAACTGAAGCCGAAGAGGCTGTCAATATAATTTTTTTATCAAAATTAATTTTACAACGATTTTTATAAGATTGATTCAAGAACATATCATGGTCTGATCTGTGGATCGATTCAGATGCATATGATCCATCTCATCATGATTATTACGATCTTACGATCCAAAAAATCGATTCAAAGCAAAAAATCGTGCATCCCTAGTCTCAAAATTCCTTCGATTTAGCTGGATTCGAACCAGCTCCTTCAGCATACCGTGCTTAACGCTCTTCCGAGTTTGGTTTGATTGAGAAATTTCACAAAAAACTTAATATCATTAAAAAACCAGGGTAGTACAACATCGTGATATTCAATAAACTTTTTAAGTTTATTATTATGTGGAGGTTTTTATATTATCTATCTTTTTCGATAAATTTTACCTACGCCATGTGCCAGACTATGTCTGCCACACATCTTATGCATGTGAAAGAATTTCCGTGTCGTCTCTCGCCTTTAAGCTTAGCTTCAAGCAAACTGAATGGTGTTAAAGTTGTTATTGATTTATGGTGTGTTTTTGTGGTAAGATTTCAAAACGTATTTTTTTTGAAACAGATATACCGGTGCACGCGCTGTAAAGAACACTACTGCTGGGAATGTGAAAGCGTGGTTTCTGCTACTTTACATGTGTGCCCCGGCTGCGCCTCGCGGCCGCACCTCTATCAAAGACTGCCTGACACCACTTCGTGACTAAAGTGGCCCGTAGGCGAAACATGTTTAACTGAATGTTAATGTTATTTGGCCGGGTAGCCTTCAACGTTGGGTTATTGGCTTTAGATGTGAAGGATGACGTCATTACGAAGCCTTAAAGACCAGAAAAGTGTTCAAACACTCTCCGAAACATCTGACGTCTCATATACTGGGTATCCGAAGTCGAAGTCTGAGGGCTTAATAACGCGAGTTTTGTATTTTTTTTCCGTACGTGATACATACAATGTTTTAATCACATTTGCGAGGAAATAAATACAATGTTTATTTCTTGTATTAATAAATATGGTTCATAACACATCTATTGTGTGTATATATATTTTTTTTTAATCATATGATGACCAAGTTATTCATCCATAGATGATACAGCGCAAACTAAAATGTTGTCAAACACAAAGACGCATACAGCCATGTGGTTTGTAAAAAAATTTGCAAAATTTTTATACAGAAAATAATTAAAATCAATCTTAAGAAATTCTTACCGACCATGGCTGTAATGGAAAGAAAAAGGCCCGAGGGTTTTATTTGGGGCATTACAGTCAAGTTGCCACCATGCAATCATCTATTTACGAGCAAGTGTGATGAAAGTATAATTACAATCTTTAGCATTAAGCAAGTAATACTACAGTATTGCAATACTTGACCATATGGTCAATACCATAGAGTGTCTAGAAAAATACGTATTTCGCACAAAAGTATTGCGATAATGTAGTATTACTTGCTTGGGGCTAAAGGATGTAATTATACTTTCATCACACTTATTCGTAAATAGATGATTGCATGAGAATATAAAGGCGCTGAGTTTGAATCTTAGATTTTCCTTTATTTTTTCCATCCTCTAAGGTTTGAATCATTAAATTATAACCTACCAATAAATGGACGTCGGGTACGCGCTAAAAAGTGTCCGAACCTGTAGGGCGTCAAAATCGCATACAGAGCGTCAATTGCGCAATAGTCTTCGTTTGTTCGAGTGACAGCGCGGTTGTCAATCATGCAGTACCAATATATGCAGTACAAATAATAACTTGTAAAAATTACTACAGTAAAGTGTAAAGACAGGATTTTGTATCATATTTTCACTAAACAAATATATTGTTATAATTATTAATATATTGTGTTATCATAGTTGTCATTTAATTTAAATTACAGAAGCACACGAAATAATGAAATAGCTAACTCTCCTTTTTCTACTCATTGCATGCGCAAAAGATGGAAAGGGACCCATCACATCAGTTTCAAGAAGCTTATATAAACTTCTTGGTCATTTTCAATTGTTCGAACCACAAGCGATTGATATATTTAGAACAAAGATACTGTAAAGTTGCTTTAATTTTAATCCTATTTTTTAAAATGATTTTTTTTATTAAACGTTAGCAATAACTAACAAAATATTTTTGTACTCGTTTTACGCCTTGGGATAACCTATCAGAAGTCAGAAAATACATTTGCCCGAAATAACATTAGCTAGAATTTTCATAATGTGTTTTTACGAAGATTACAAAACAAAAGCTAATTTTGTCTATGTAAAAAACATCAAAATTACTCGAAAGCGTAACGGTTTTGTTATAAATTGGAATTACGGATATTTGAGTTTACGTTTAGTTAGAATATCGGTACATTTCTTATAGTACACGCTTTTTTTCACATTTGTAGTAATAATTGTATGTATGTATCTGCCCAACTCTTTATTATACCTTTAAGTGAATTTGTACAAAATTCGACATAATAATATATATAAAAAAATTAATTAATATTTACGAGAAAGGCTATTCCATTACTCTTGTGTTCAAGTAATTTTCACTCGAAGCTAGATATGGTGCATTTTGTTAAGTTTCCAGTAGAAGCTGAATATGGTGTTTTTGGGCCTTTAAATTGTTGTTAGCAAATTTAGGCAGTACTGCAATAACGTTACAATTTAAATTAAATGTTTTAGTTTTTTATATTTCGTTACATGTCACTACGTTTGTATAGGTTAACCTCGGACATTTTTTTCGTGGTTTTTGTATTAGACCCGATGTCCATTTATTGGTAGGTCAATGGTTTGAATGCATTTTTCATTTTACAATGTACACTGGGCGTTTACGTGATCACGGAAATAATATTGTCTGGGTCTGTATCACGTCACGTATTATATACATTTTAATCCACACGGATGTTTGAGGCCTATTTGCAGGGGGATTTGATGATCGTGTCTTGGGGGTGGGGTTGATACGGTGGAGTGCCTCGCTACTTGGAAGAAATTACTCTATTTGTGGCTTACTAAAATGTGTTTTATTTCTTACAAATTACACTTACTGATTCCACTGAGAAGAACGAGTAAAAAACTCCAGGCATTGTTTGTAACATTTACGTAGAGGCTAGAAAAAAATATCTTAATTGTACAGTGCACTGGGTTATACATTATGAGCTCCATTCTTGTTATACTTAGTGGTATTTTGAATCTTAATTGTAAAGCTCACCCTGCTGCTGCCTTACACTTGGGTGTATTGTGAAGAATGGGTATTAATGTACATTATGTAAATATACTATTCGAAGAAAGGTTATGTAAATAAAAGAAATAAATACGTACGTAATATTTGAATCATTTATTTATATCACATCTCGCATTTTCTATAGCGTAAATAGAAAAATAACTGTTTATATATGCTAATTTAAACATAACTACATAATATGAGAAGCTCATATGTACAGTACATACGGTCAGTACATTACGATCACAGATAAGAAAATCTCATTGATGTTGCACAGTAAAGCCCTGGAACCTTTTTGTAGTGCGACGAAAAATTAGGCTAAGAACTTATGTAGCGGTTTTCAGCCCGCGGCGTCCGTACAATGTGTATGTAAAATTAAGTAGCACATTTCACGACGGGTTTTGCGCCTGTGACACAGACGGGTTGGATACTAGTAGAAGATCGTAAATAATTAAATTAATAATTAAAAAAATAATTAAATGATTTTAAAACAAGTTGCAAATCCAACTAGCATATAATAAAGCCAAAAAATCAAGTAAAAAAAAACTAAATTGCGATTTACTCGTAGGCTATATGTGCCAGCGCGGCCAAAAAACGTTTGTAATATGCATACAAGGCCTTTCAAAAAACAATCTAACGAATTGCTTCGCTGCAACGATTTGGTCACTAGAATTTTATTTAAAAAAATACCAAATACGGGACATAAACTTTGGTCGAGGTTTTCTCCAAAACTGTCGTAGTGAAACTCACGGCAGTTACTTACTCATGCACTCGGAATGAAAAGTTTTCTCTGATTCTTTTGTTAACAGACACATGTCCGATTTTAAGGGTAAAAAACATTGTGCTACGTGACTACACAAATCTGCAGTGTTGTGAGTATTGAAATAAAACAGCTGTTCCAAAGCCGCGGCGGGCGCTGGTGAAAACCGCTCCATGAATTCTTCGCCTCAATGTGACCGAAGTTGTGATTTCTCTTTTGAATTTTGAGAAATCACACGCTTAACCTAAAGTTACTTAAGATTAAACCGGATTTACCGGCTATGGTTAAATTGTCAAAATGAAGGGTGTAGTACCATGCGCTGTATTACCACTAGGCAACTGCACGCTTGATTGGCATGCAGTCATTCAAAATGGAATTCAACTTGTTTTCCGTTAGGCTCAATTCATATTACGGCGGTACGGAATGGAAGCGAATTTTTTTAAAGATATTGTACATAACGTAATGAACTTTATGTAACGTACTAACTAGATACGAGCCAAAACACGCGTCGAGCGTTTTCCGCGGAATTCTTCGCGCATGCTCGAGAATACTTGCGCATTCGCGAGAGTTTCGCAGCTGCCGTCGGCGACTCAGTGTGGCGCCAAACGTCGACGAAATACTACAGTGACCTTGCGCGCCTTCTTGCACAGGGCGAAATTGATGCTTCCATTCCATTCCCTTCCGCCGCAATGTAAATTGAACCTCAGTACTCTATCTACGATTTTACAATCGAAATGGAGCTCATGTGACAACGCACTTATGGATAATTTTCAGCTTAATTTTTTCCACCTAATTTCGGTGTCAATTTTTTAATTATTTATATATATATTGAAGAATGTGTCTTCAATATTATCACGAGACTCGTGATAATACGATTACATACTCTCATCGTAATAATATTATTTAACATTCGAGTGTAGCAACCTGAAATATTGTTTAATATTTCACGATAATACTTTCGAACACTTAATAATAAAAATTGCCACCGAAATTAGTTGGAGAAAACTAACCTGAAAATTGCCCTTATACTCGTCTTTCCTTACAAATAAGAATCTGGTTTTCATTGGTCACACCTATGATGGTAATATGAACACTTATGCCACATTAAAACCTATTCGAAGTATATTCAAAGGTCAACGTTATTTAATCATTTGTAAGTCAATACCTAGAAGGCAACATCGTTCCTTTTGAAGTTTGTATATAAATATTAGTGTAACAACTTCCAAAGAAAATCTTTCAAAAATTTCATATAATATTATCTGATACTAAGGTATTCTTAAACATATATTGCAAATTAGAGGCAATAAATTATCGTTAATAAATTATCAATTACACATACAGTAGTTAAATATTGTTTTCATTACAATGGTCCTGTGTTTTTATTATATTATGGTTAAGAAGGCAAATTTCAGAATCCGAAACTTTTAGCTATGTAGAATACTCCACAGTATTTGCAATCTTACAGGAACGATACTTGTTCACAGTTAAAAATACCCATATATTTTATTGCAACCGAATGAATTTGGTGCCTAGATCATTATTGCGAGGTGTGTATATTATTTGTAATATTTTTAATTTTATAACATTATTTCTGGCCAATGTCCTCGCAGTGAAAAATCTCTTGTTCTTTCATGTAGTAGGTAGATAATTGCATTCGTAATCTAAGTACACTATTTATCTGTACTGCCTAAAGTATCTTGTCTAACGTAGTGTATGCTTCCGTCAGCTAAGATATGAATACGAAGAATACCCATCTAAAATATAAATATACACTTGCGGACACATATTCGTGCCACCACGCATTTTCAGTATTAAGTGCCCTAAGCTTAAACAATGTTTCATTGCTCAAAAACTATTACACAGATTTGAAAGTAATATATTAAACTTCTTTTCCATAACTTGTTGGGAATTTGGATATGCAAAACCGGGGAAAAACGTTTTTTCGATGAAAGCACTATTTGTGTATTCTAGCCCTTTACGACAAAAATGCGAGGTGGGTCGAATTGTATGTCCGGGAGTAGGTATATTTTAAACTTTCACATAATCATTACAATGTAACGATAAGGCATCAATTACAATTTAAGTACGTTTAGTACTTCGTTTGATACTACTTCAAACGGACTGGTTTGCGGTCATTTTTTTACGGGTCACCCATAGTATATTCGGTTTTTGGTAATATTGTTCTATTTGTAACAGCGATTTGTCTTTTGTTTCTGGTAACAATAAGAATAAAACAATAGTAGCGAGACAAGCGGAACCTCCAAAAAGGCCAAACACTGCAGCCATGCCCATATTGTTCTCCATTACCGGGTATAGTTTTGTGAAACCGAATAGAACAGCATTGAAAATGCAGAATATGTAACCACCACACAGACCGCGTACTTTGGTTGGAAGGAGTTCTCCGATCATAAGACCCGGGAGTAAGAAAAAGCCTAGTGTGTTGAAAGCTACGTAGCTTAATATGAGTACAGGTGGTATAATACTAGGTTCATTTTCTGTGTTGGTTTGCGTGAGAATATAGGTAAGGGCTAAGGTGCTGACGGCTGTTCCGATTCCTGAGATCATAACCAGACACCGGCGTGTGATTTTGAGTAGCAGCACGCACGCAACTACGGTGATACCTAATCGGACAAGTGCACTCGCGTTCGCTACCACCTGTAATAAGAAATATTTTTTATTAAGAATTAGTCAAATCCTGGTGACCGTCAGGAACGCTGGTCGTCTGTGGCGTCTGCCCCTGAGTGTATATTCAAGAATTGCTACTAATTGCCACTATTTGCTACCTTTTCTACATAATTGCTACCTTTGATATATTCTGAGAAATTTAAAAAAAAATAATTAATCAGCCATTCTGATATCAGGATGGCTGGTCGCCACTTTGTTCAGCATGAAGGGAGCAGATTTTCCAGAAGTATGTATTACCAATAATTGCTACCTATTTGCTACTTCCACGAATTAAAGGTATAAGGTTCCTAATTTTTTTTAACTAATTATCTTCGTAATTAATTAAAAAAATTGTAACGATTCAAGGTTTTACGAAAAAGTACCAACGCCTGCCCTTTATATTATGGCAATAGAGCACTAAAAACTTTTACTTTTTTAATTTAATTTTTTAAATAAATTTTTTTATCGCTTTTATTTAACCAATGTAGATAAGAAGCATATATCCCTAATTCGTGGAAATAGCAAATGGGTAGCAATTATTGCTAATACATACTTCTAGAAAATCTGCTCCCTTCATGCTGAAAAAAGTGGCGACCAGCTATCCTGATATCAGAAAAAATAATTGACCGGCCAGGTCAATTATTTTTTTGAATTTCTCAGAATATATGACAAGCAACAATTATTTAGAAAAGGTGGCAAATAGGTAGCAATTCTTGAATATACACTCAGTGCCAGATGCCACAGGCGACCAGCCTGTGCCAGTGACCAGTCCCAAATGCTGCCTTGGTCTTGCCGCTATGTGGTCTGGTTAAAAAAAAAAATGTGTTCCTGCTTGCTTGCTTAGGCGATAATGAAATGACAATTTCTCTTTTTATATTAGGCTCAATTTATATTGCGGCGGAACGGAATGGAAGCGAATTTTTATGACGATTACACAATTAATCATACAGTTCATTACGCTATAGGTATTCAATATCGTTACAAAAATTCGCATACATTTCGTTTCGCCGCAATTTGAATTGAGCCTTGCGTATTTCTATTTCCGTTGAAAGCGCTGTTAATAAAAAATCGTCTGAAACAGTAGTTTTATTAAATCACACACTGGGGCCACACACCTCAAAACTGTCTAATAAAAAATCTAAAACGAATTATTTAAGTCAGTGTTTTCAAATTGTCGGAATAATTTGTAAAACTATGAAATAGCTATGAAGTTCATGTGGCCGTTTCATTATTCAATAAGGGGGAATGATAAATTCCGCAAATGTAACGTATTCTCGTCCAAAGCGACTGCCACAGTGAGCACGTGATGTTAGGCGACACGCGGACGTCTAAAGCCACCACACCATATATTTGGAAGTATAATCATCATCATCGATCATTGGAATCACTCACATGGGGATCCAAAGAGCCTCCAGTCTTCTTGACTATGTCAACAGCATAAAAGATGACTACGTAGCTCCCGGATAAAATCTGTAGCATGTTGAAGGCGTTGATTAACATCAGAGGCTTCAATACAGGCAACCGGAACACTGTTGCTAAAAATCGGATGTTTTCTTCCCCTCGAGCTTTTTCTTTCTCTCTTGCATTTACCAGTTCGTGGAGTTCACGTTGGGCCTGTGGGTATCAACAATAAAAAGTATATAAATAAATAACTTTAAAAAAAAACCACTATAAGTACTTATTTGCCAAGTTTTATCGAAATCCGTTACCGGAAAGTGCGCGAAACCGGATTGATTTAGGTGGAATATTTTGTTCAAATTTAAATGGGACCAATACTGAGGTACCCTTTTTCCAAGAAAAAAAAAGAATCATCAAAATCGGTTCACAAACGCCACAGCCGAATTGAGAACCTCCTCCTTTTTTTTGAAGTCGTTTAAAAATAACTTGCAATAGTTATTTTAAGGTAAGGCTCAATTTGCATTGCCGCGGAATGGAATAAAAACTAATTCTTGTATCGAAATTGTACACAGCTGTATGAACTTTTGTCAATAAAATTGTATAACTTATAAACTAGATACGATACGGTAGCTGCGTGAGAATTCTGCGGAAGACGGGCGATCTGCTTCTTGGCTCGTATCAAGCTTGTACGTTCCGTAATTGACATAACGTTCATTATGCTATCCTACCTAGATAACAGATTATAAAAATTCGTTTCGATTCCGGTGTGTGGTAATATAAATTAAGTTTATGACTTTTTGAAATTGACTTTTGATACGTTAGGATACGTCTCGGATACAAACGGTACATTTTGTGGTTATAATAAATTTAATAAATATAATGATAATTATCAATAATAATTATTACTTCAAAACCCGGTAAAATCTGACCAAATACTGACTAAATAATCGAGTACACAAATGTCTCACAAGAAATACTTCTCGGACACGGTGACGCCAAATACATACCGAAAAATACGTACGTAACGTATAACTTTCATAAACAATTACAGCTGAAACAAAAACATGTAATTAAAGACATACCAATTCGTAATGATTATTTTAGTTTGGCATGTCATTCACAATATGAGTTACGAGTTACGTAACTTCCATTGTCATAATTTGTCCTTGACCTTAGTTATTCGCATTATTGGGCGAAGCCCGAGTCGGCTCTTCAAAACATTCCACTTATTATCTTATTATTAATAATTATGTGTACTTATTTTAGCATTCATTAAAAGATGATCTTTTTTTAAAAAAAATAGATCTGTACAATACGAGGTTTATAATTTATATTATTAGAATAGCAAATGTATTGTATGTACCTGGGTTGTTTTCAGAAAACCTCCAAAAATGTGTCCCTTTCAATAATTTTTATGTTATTACATGAATGCTAAGCATTATTTATTTAATATGATTCCTTGCTTACTTAGTCTGTATTATACATAAAAAGACTATTTTACTACGTCACAGTAATAAATAAAAATTAAAAAAGTGGGCATTTTCTTATTCATGGGAGCCGGTTCTACGTCGCCCTGATTTTAAGAAAAGAAGAAAAAAATAAACACTCGTGGAAATCGCAACATTTCCCATCGAAGATAAACTCTAATAACTTACACGTCGACTACATACCGTAACTTTCCAATTTATTATAAACAAACATGTTTTCTTGGGAATACAAAATGTGTTTCAATTTTTCTTATCATTAGTGTCAATTCAACTAAAAGCCTCCTAATAACAAAAGTTCATACCGCATCACCTTCATCCTTCGCACACGTGATAAGGGGCTCCTGTATGTCAGATTGGAGTGTACACAGTGAAGTAACCTGTGTATCTCCGTTTTAGCAAATAATCGATTTAAATACCAATTTCAGCGCTAGTGACTAAATCGTTCTCATTCATGTAAAGCAATCTATTTAAATAAGTATTAAGTAATAGTTTTACAAACTTTATTGTACATCAATTAGACAAAGGGAACTTTAATATCCATGCACTTTTATAACGGTCCAGCATATTTTACACACTTGACAATTAAAAATGTATACAAATATCATTATTGTCGCTCTCATTCTTGTCTCCTTTTAAGTCAAATAGTTGCTTTAAGCCAAACATTTACTTGAAATATAACAATTAGATGGTGATAGTGGGGGTGATGACGATGACGATGGTGGTAATGATGACGATAATGATTGCAGTGATGATGACGATGATGTGAATGGTAATGATGCTGATGATAATGGTGATCATGATGATGATGTTGATGGTGGTGATGTTGATATATTGATGTACAACAAAGTTTATATGACATTAACAAAATACTTATTTAAATTTATTTATTAATTACATATAAATAGATTACACGGATGAGAAAGATTTTCTTTATTAAATTATAATATTTGTTACATGTTAAATGTTCTTTTGTGAACGATAAAATGTGTGTTGTAATAATAATTTCTCATTACTGTGCCGTCTTTCTCATTTATGTTTATGAGAAATCATTAATGTTATTGCAATCTCATTCGTGTGCCCAAAAATATCGTTTTTTGTTGTATTTAACTTAAATATTTCTGTGCTTTTATGATTATTGACATTGCTTGAACTTATTTGTATGTTTAAGACCTTAAAAGTTTTAAGGTTTTTCTTTTGTTTTTAAGTTACAACCAAAAGAAAAAAGGGTTTTACAAAAATCACTCAAAAAGTGCCATTGAAATTCCGAAAGGGAAATTCAATCACCTACCTATATTATTTTGAAAGTAGCTTTAGCTACTTCGCCATAACTACACTGTTCTTTACAACAGAAGACTAGGCAATATTTAAGGAGTTTTTCAATACTGGGGTGACATTTCTAATTAAGAAAAACCCTCCTTAAATAAAAAAGAAAATGAAAAGGCTAATGAGGCGGAAGTAAGCATGTGTACTGGATTTAAATTCTTAAGACCCAACAAGCTATAATGAGAAATGCGTTAGGGGCCGTATTACAGACGGCAGCACATCAAGTTACACAGACGGATCTTGTTTCGTTGCACTGCATGCTTCAGATACTAGTAAGCATACCCTCAGTTTTGTATGAAAAACGTATTTTTCGAGCTTTCCTATGGTCGTATAGAATTTTGGAATTTTAGGAGCTCTGAGTGGCACTGCAACTGTTATGGACAGGCGTTTACTTATCACCAAGCTCAGGACTTGTTCGTCCTGTCACTTGATATAATAAAAAAAATCTATGATCATAGGATATATAGCGTTAAACTTGATTGCGATATTTCCATTAACATGTATACACGCCAGCACATCAAGCTACACATTGACGTGTCTTGTTCCGTTGCACTGGAGGCGATTTTCGAACAAAAATGTGTAGTCTGATGTGCCGTTGGGCGTGTACGTGATAATATTTTCTGGGTCTGAATCAGTTTACATGTTATGTGCATTTTTATGAACACGGGGCCTTAGGAGGTTAAGTAGCGTGGAACTCTGGATAATATGTTTGAAGAGCGTTGGAGGAGGCTTATATGTATTCGAAAATATGATATCATAAGGGCTGAGACGAATAGATGCGAGAAAATGACGAAAACCCCGTGGTTAATTAATAAAGACAAGTTATAGTTTGAATTTGTCTGTTCAAGAAGCATCGCCTTGTCCTCCTCATTGAGCTCATTAAACGAACCGTTTCATAAGACTGGCTGAATCGAATAAATATGAACATTAATAAGTGTATTTTCTTGACAAGGATTTTTTTTATAATATCAAGTAACGGGATGTACAAGTCATGCGCTTCGTCGTAAAGTCAGCGACTCAACCGTCCACAGTAGCAGCTTGATTTTGATTGCCTCTCCCGATTGGAAACTGCGTCTCTTCCGAGTCACGGAGCATAATTGCGATTCACAACTGGCCGATCGGAAACTTTTGACATTTCAAATCGGAACAATTATGCTTTATGGGAACAGTAGTCGATTTAACTCACAAATTAGAAAGATATAGTAGGAATCAGGTTCATCTTCTCGCTCGGAAACCCATCTGATTTCGAGACTACCCGATCGGTTCGATTTCAATTTAAACCGTTCGATTCCGTCACCCAGAGACATAAGTTGACAAGTCCTATTTGGATGTAATTTCACCAGGCACCCTTAGCATTCAAATTTGGAACGCTGTAATGCTCACATAGTCGGTGCTTTGTAGTAAGCGACATTTCGAAAATTTTTTCAGGGGAGTCAGGAGAGTACGTTTTAGGTTTTAACAACTGTTTAAAATTAAATTGCTAACTACTACTACTACCTACTAATTATTGATATTTATTTATTTAAATAACTGCAGGTGATTAATCAATTAATTTTAATTTTTTTCAATTATTCACAAATTTCTATAAGTATAGCAGTATCATGGCAATGACAATGTAAACAAGGCCCAACCAATAGAGACCGTAGAACTAGCGTATTGTAGATGTATTTTACTTACAACAATTGCAGTATGGCAGTTTTAAATTGCTAATTAAAATAGACAAAACTGAACGTGATTTGGTCTTGTTAAGTTATAAAGAAGCACAGGCACAGAAGGCATAATTTAGGTATGACTAAGAACAAGTAGAGTACGAATAATTGAGAGCCTTCACGGTCAAGTTGTGTGCTGCTATATACAATTGTCATGGTTGTCGCACACCCGTAATTTTGTCACTATTAACGTTTTTATGTAGGTATATGCTGGTAATTTAAAATATTGCTGAATGTATTCACTTTGTACAATGCCATTTGGAAGATAAAATAATTGCGCATGCCTGGATAATAAGCATGCATAAAATACCATGTTGTTGTTACCATATCAGATTATTGTTGGTTGACAACCATGTTGAAATTTTCATCGCTCACCAGCGGATAGAGAAGCGTATGTGCAGTCTTTCATGGTATTGAGCGTTTATGTTTACGCAGGTACGACAAAATAAAGGGAATAATGTTTTGGAACACAACAATAATGTAGTGTTGTGTTAGCTATGATACCAGGGTGGAAGTTATAAAAAACCCCTAACGGTATAAACAAGTGTGACAAAACAATGTTGAGGAGTGTCAAGGATTAATTGGGTAATTTCCAGGTTAGTTTTTTCTACCTAATTTCGGTGTTTGCGTAAATTATAAAGATATACTTGTTCAATAATATTTCAGGTTACTACACCACGGACTTGTATATATTAAACTGGACCGCGCACACATACACACACATATAACAAACGAGCCGAGTGAGAGGTTGCAAAGTAGTAATGCGTCTCTTTCTAACAGAGTGTTCATTCATCTTTTAGCCACCCATATTGATTTTTACTTTTTAGTTTTCATAGATAATGTGGCCGCTTATGGATGACCAAAACTACTAATATTATTTCATAATACAAATTGGTATACTTATTTGATATGCTACTTCATAATAGAAGGTTTCATTCATTGTTGATATTTTTTTTTGTATTATTACAGTAAAAGCATATTACCTTTAAGTAAATATATAGAACCAAAATTTAATAAAGTTAATAGACTAGAAACTACCTAAGAAGATTTTATTGAGCGTTGGCAACTTGTTAGACAAGGACAGACCACTACTACGAGCTATTTCACGTGACTCGGATTTTTCTTTTACTTAAAATAAACCTTAACATAACCCCATTAAGGTGTAAATTTGTAATATTGGTATATCAAAGTGAGCAAACCAGTGTATGAAGTATACAAATTCGTGTGCTACACGCGAATGCTATATAACACTTTATGACAATATTTTACAATATTTAAATAATATAAGTTGCCACCGAAATTAGGTAGAGAAAACTAACCTGAAAATTACTCAACCCCACAAATTATACGGTCTCAAAACACACATACGCAGTGTAACTACTTACTTTTATTCACTGCATAGCATTTTATTATGCGTAATAAACTAGAAGTGGCTAATACTTAAAGACTGCAAGGTGACATTTCAGTCTAGCAGCCAATGTCATTTCATTACTTTATTGTTTTCAATCGTGATCACACTCTAACGTCTTTGTGATGTCAGGCGCAATCGCTATCAATGGTCAATAACATCCCATTAGAAAACGTTTAGAAACATCCAAACCATTAACAATAGAGAATTTAGGGAAGTTGTAACGAAATGATTGTCTCTGTTATGTAGTTGCTTTATTGCGACAATTTCGTTACAAGAATTCGTTTCCATTCCGTTCCGCCTTAAGTAAAATTTAAATTGAGCCTTACACCGATACTTTAAGGTATACAGATTTTTTGACGATCGACACGTGTGATCGGACAAAATCGAGTTAATGTGTAAGCAACAAACAGATGATCGAAATCGTATTTGTCTATCGATCGACGTTGTGAAATTTCAATTTCAGTTTCCGCAGCTACCGTATCGAATCAATTCGTATCTAGTTTGCACATTACAGAATCATGCTATGTACAATTTCGTTACAAACATTATCTTCGATGTAAATTGAGCCTTAAGAATTGAAATCTCGTCATGTTTAGAAGTATAAAATATAATAAAGTCAAAAACTTGTCTGCTTTAGTAGTTAGGTAACCATTATTTTTTAGATCGAAACGGTTTAATAATAGTTATCGAACAAACTTACGGTATCAGGATCGCCCCTTAACCGCGACATAGCCGCCATAGCTTCATGGAATCTGCCTCTTCTGGCCAACCAAGTCGGGCTCTCCGGTGCGAAGCATAATGCAGTGACAGCTAGTGCGGGTAACACAACACATAGATAGGCCACATGTCGCCATGGTAGGGCTCCGCCAAGGGCGTATACGTAGAGTACACCGACGGAGTATGCTACGAAGGGTGTTCCAATTAGGATGCCTCGTAGCCGTGGTTCGGAGATCTCGCCTATGTACACCTGTTAAAAGATATTGGTAACGTTATTGATGGCTTAACCTTGTGCTCATAATAGAGAAAATAAGTCGTGGACTTAAATGTATCTCCAGTAACAGTTAAATGCGAGTCGACAGAGTTTCATTTCTTGCAATAAAACTATTCAGTACCTATATCAGATTAAGTTGTTGAGATGCGTAGGCAATGCAAAGCATAGAAATGAAAAAAAAAACAGACTAGGTTATTGACATTAGTTTATATATAAGAAATATTTAAATATCGTATATTTGTTTTTTCAAACAAACCAATGTTTCAGGTCCTTTGTAGGTCCATGGTCACGGCTGACTATCAGCCGTTTGGTTCGTTAGTAAATAGCTCAAAACGTTGGTTTGTTTGGAAAAAAATAAAATATAGGTACGCATTTAGTCCGAAAAATAGTTCCTTTTCCAATATAGACGAAACCTAAGAACTCGATAAATATACTCGTATATGTTTTTTTCAAAAGTATATACGACAATATCAACCCATTTATACGTCTCAGTGGTGGGAATGCGTCTCCCTTGAAGCGAGCTTTTAGGCCATAGTTAGTCTGCCACGCTGCCCCGATGCGGGATAGGGACTTCGTACGTCGAAGAAGGTTCACAACCTTCGGAAAACGCGAAGTGTACAATATGAAGTATATAGTAAACGTGGGCCAGCGTATTCATACGTTCACTGCTGGGCACGGGTCTTTTCCCAGGCGAGAGTTTAGGCAATGGTCCGCCACACTGGCATTAATTCCTAAAAACTTAGGAGGTGCAAGCCCGGATTCCGACCCACGGTCTCTGCTTGAGACGTGGTAGGCTAGTTAGAAAGTTTGAACGTTTAGGCTACCACGGCTTCTAAGTAAATATTCAAAAATATTAGTAGAGAGTTCTTTGTGAAAGAGTTTATCCAGGAAAGTGCTGCCATCTTACCTATTTCTACTGCCAAGCTTTAATGTGAGCATTATTGCGTTCCGGTTTTGGAAGAGTAAGTTAAGGGTGCTGGTGAAATTACAGCAACATAAGACTTGTCAACTTATGTCTTAGGGTGTCGGGTGCAGTGGCAGTGCCCTTCAGATCTTTGCGATTTAAAGCTCTGCAAATGTTGGACCGGCGTGTCGCTTACCACCAGGCGCACGACTTGTTCGTTCCGTCACTTGGTATTATAAAAAAAGGTATAAGCATTTATTACTATTTATTGTCTATATATCACATAAACAAATATTAATATTTAGTAGAGTAAGTACCAATCAATCATATTAACTCCTAACATCATAATGTTTTGTCATCAATTTGACGGATCAGGTACATCGATTTACAGTGTTCCTTTATCTCAATATGACAAGGTAGAGATAAAACTCTATGTCTTTGCCAAACGCAAATTCGATAATATACTTAAGAGAACGAATGTAATCTTAGCATGGTTTATCGGCGTCTTTGTCACATGAGGCGCCATGCGCCATCGGTTTGTTTTGCAAAAAAAAAACCGGATTTAGATCCGGAAACATAATTTCATTTTTCAGTATGGATTATTAAGCTATCGTCTCCATGGGAAACACGGAAATAATAAAATTGTATGATCGATAAAAGGGAGATAATATTTAACATGCCACGAAAAGTGGTAAAATATTATAGGCACATAACATATAAAATAAAAAAATCGGTAGATCGTGGTTCGGTATATATTATAATATCGTTGACCCTTAATTGAACCTATATCAATAGCAACGATTGGTGTATGGAAAACTTACAGCGGTTACACACGGTGACTTTCAGCAGCGCGTCTGCAGCGATTCAGTCGCTATGTAGTCGTTCTTTACACACACGCGCGACTTCACACAGCAGCGATGCAATCGCGATGCAAACGCGATGCACGTTTGCATCGATGTAATTGCGCATTACACAAATGCACGTTTGCATCACTGCTAAAATGTGTAAGAGCGGTTACACACGGCGACTACGTACATAATTACGAGATTAAATGTTACAACTTTAAAAGCAAAATTTTATGTTACTATATACTTGTACGTAGGTAATAAGCCATTTTTGCAATGAAAGCAATAAAATATAAAAAAATGAGTAGGCCTAGCAGTGTGATTTATATGAATTGATTGGTATAGTGCTAAACAGTGTCCTATCCTTTAAATAACTTGGGATCGTGAGTAGAATTGTCTAAGGGGGTTACATTTATTAACGCAGAATTAGGTGGAGCTGGTCAGAAAAAACTTTATGTCTATGCAATAACTCATGTATCAGGCGAATTGAGCGAGGTGAGCGGGTGAATTGAGCGAGGTGAGCGGGCGAGTTCTCGGACACTTACAGCCTGGAATGCGGGGTGAGTCAGAGGGGACTGACGTCTCCGAATCTCTTCAGCCTGTATATGACTGAATTGATCGTTGAGCTCTGCTGCATGCATGCGGGTTGTTCAATATAATGGTCAAATGATCAATGACATTAGTTTCGCAGATGGTATGGTGCTGCTGAACACTTCAGTTGGTGCGTTGCGGAGTCTGAAAGGCCTATGCTGCTTTTTTTTTAAATACCAAGTGACGGGACGAACGAGTCGTGGGTCTGGTGGTAAGCGACACGCCTGTCCATAACAGTTGCAGTGCACATTCAGAACTTTAAAACGCAAAGATCGGAGGCGCATTGCCGCTGCCCTCGTCATCTGAGACATAAGTTGACAAGTCACATGTGCCTGTAATTTCACCAGTATCCCTACCCTACAAAACCGGACCACAGTAATGCTCACATTAGAATCTCACAATAGCAGAAATAGGTAAGGTGGCAATGCTTCCCTGGACAAACTCTTTCATAAGTAGCTCTACTGCTACTACTACACAGTAGAGAGAGAGAGAGAGAGAGAAAAGATTAAAATACAACTCCAAGAAAAGACAGTACACGGTATTCGCGTCGCGTGGCAGGTCTCCCAGACATGTACCTCCAATTAATATGGTATGGTAGTGAGTTGGCTAGAGTGATACAGTACAGGTACCTGGGTCACATAGTAAATACTGAGCTTTGGGATGATCGAGACATGTAAAGAGAGCGTAGGACATTGGCGGCTCGAGTGAATATGCTGGCCAGCAGGTTTGCGTATTGGACACAAGACGTAACAGTGTCTTTAATTTAATAGGAGCGAAAAATTGATTCGTTTCCGCTTGGACTGCATGCGGAATGAGAACGCGTCTTTTTCACTATTATTAAATTTTTTTTATAATACTGACGGGGCGAACAAGTCGTGTGTCTAGTGGTAAGCAACACGCCTGTCCCTAAAAGGTATAGTGCTACTCAGATCTTTAAATTTCAAAGATCTGATCTCAATGCCCCTGCCACAGAGCTCCTATTTAATCAGCGGGTACTTTAAGAACAGACACTGGGGCATAACATCTTAGCTGGCCCTGAAAATGTCATTCTCATTTAAGATTTATTAACTTGGAGAACTTAATTACACCACAACAGCAATTATCTCACAATTTAAAAACAACATTCTCACACTACAACAAAGAAAAGTTAACTCAAGATCTGGCAATGTGCCTGCCAATTTCATACTGAAAACTTGGCTTTTCCTTTAAATTAAGTTATTGAAGAATTAGCAGCGGTAGAGTACGTTGTGAAAGAGTTCGTCCAGAGACGTACTGCCACCTTACCTATTTCTGCCGCCAAGCAGTAATGTCAGCATTACTGTGTTCCGGTTTTGAAGGGTAAGGGTGCTGGTGAAATTTCAGGCGCATGTTACTTGTCAACTTATGTCTCAGAGTGACGGGCATAGTAGCAGTGCCCCTCAGATCTTTGCGATTTAAAGCTCTGAGTGGCACTGAAACTGTTATGGACAGGCGTGTAGCTTACCATCAGGCGCACGACTTGTTTGACCCGTCACATGATATTATATAAACGATTTCACTATGAATATAAAGCTTTTTCTGACCGGTTTAAAGATCGATTCCGTGTCGACAAGTGTGGTGACCTAAACTAGTCCATATTAGCACTTCGCACGTAACAACGGTTAGCGGACTAACCTGAGAAGGAGCAGCCATAATACCAACAGCAAACCCGCAAACAACTCGTCCAAGCAGTACCAGAGCGTGATGCGAAGCGGTTCCTATAAGGATCCAACCGACAATCAGTGGAAGTGTGGAAGCCTGCAGCGTCCGCCGTCGCCCTATTGCCTCCATTATTGGCCCTGACATCATCGACCCTAGGGGTGTTGCGGCTGAGTGGATGCTGGCTGAAAAGAAAATGGTGATATTGAAATATTGAATTGAAAAGAAAAAGTATTTGCGCAAAAGCTTTTTTTTTAGAATCACGAATTAGTAAGGACAAACAGGCAATGTACGTACTTGACACAACAAAATCAAATTGAATCCCAGTGGGCATAATTTAACTAAAACTGATATGACTATGTTTTCGGGTTTTAATTGCGAATATTTGTTTTTCAAAAGTCACGGGTGACTGAAAAAACATATACCTATTCGCGTCGTATTGCTAAAACTTAAGAATTTGATATAAGCTCTGGTGCAAAAAAGATAATAACAAAAAAAAAAAAATTTAAAAATAAATATTAAAAAAAATACAAAAATCCATTAAACGTGGCTCTTCCTTAAACAAAAATTGTCATTTCCGTTTAAAGAAGAGCCACGTTAATAGTAATTTTAATTGTTAATACAAGTAGCTGATGTTATTCATATCACTATTTAAAACTTAAACTTTAAGTTAGGTATATGTATATATTAAATGTAATTTATATGTCATATTAAATGTCACCAAGATAGACAGATATGCTAGTAACATTGAGATTAATTATCATCGTCAAACAGATATTTATTAATTTGAGCGGTGTAAATTGATAGAATTAAATAAATTAATATTCAGATTTAGCTTCGTTAATTTATAACTAGGTATAAATAATAATATTAATAACGCACACACTCAACATAGCCCCGCACTAGGGAAACCCTGTGTCGCGGGTGCCACGGACACACACATAGACAATCACAAATTACACACAAACTCACGAGTTGATTAAATGTAGGCCATACAAATATTTCTTCCGGCCCAGGTATGGAATCTGGGACCTCTGCGTGGCAGTCATGCCACGGTAACCGTGGTAGGCATGGTAACCGTTCAGCCACTGAGGCAGTTAATGGTTAATAAATGATTTTTTTTATATTCGCAGCATTAAATTATATAGAGTTATGTAGCTGTCAAAGTTTGCGAAACAGACCCGAAATACAAATGCTTTTTGGGGGCAAGCTGAGAACTAGCGCTGAGCTACTTCTATCTGCCGCTCTATTTCTAAATAGTTGGTAGTTAGTGTGTGGAAATGAATGATTTTTAGAGTCGTATTCTAGAACTCTACTCAATGCTCAAGTCAGGATTGCACTGGAAACACAAGCACTGGAAATACGACCCTAATGGCAGGGACTTGAGTATGATTTCTAGTACTTTGAATCATACTCAAGTCCTTACTTAAGCATTGAGTAGAGTTCTAGAATACGACTTTTAATCTCAGTACAGAGTACTAAAACGATCACAAAATTGCGTGGAATTACATCTATTTGCAAAGTTTTATTGAAATTGATTATCGGAAAGTGCGCGAAACCGGATTCATCCCCTAGTTTGCCACCCCTAGACGTGGAATATTTTCTTCGAATTTAAATGAGATTACTAATGAAGGTACTAACTTTCCAGCAAAGAAAGAATCATCAAAATCGGTTTACAAAGTTATTGCGTAACATACTTAAAGAAATACAGTCGAATTAAGAACCTCCTTCTTTTTTTTGAAGTATGTTAAAATAGTATATGTAAATCATTACCTGCATTACTTTGTATCGAGTATAATTTTTAATGCAAAAGCTTGGAGAGAAGTTATTATTTAATCATAATCCATCGACTGAACGGATTTGGGTGACAATTTACGATTAGATAACCGATACGCTACGTATATAGGGATTTGAGGAGGTAAAATTGGCCGCGTGTAAACCCCTACGCCTTCGTGACTTTACATAGGAATTATTAGCCAGATAATACATACATACTTAGGGCTGGGGCTATGTATACGTGCTATGTTTTGATTAAAATATAAATTACAAAATACTTTCTTAAATGTATTTATTATGCGAAATACAAAATATTTTACGATAAAACTTTATTATTTCGTAGTTGAACTACCGTCCGTGTACCTACCGCCAAGCATATTCTTGTTTTTAACATATTTTTGTAATAACGTTTTTCTGTGTTCTCAAAGTCAAATAATCTTTACTTTTTATTTTTTATTTATTTATTTAGATACACCATCGGCACATACATAGAGAATTTAAATTTTATAACATATAATTTTTTATACAGTATGTTGTACCATTCCAGGCATATACAGCATTTACGAAGAAAAAAAACCCTAATTTAAAAAGCAAATAGAAACAAAAATACTGTACGGAAAAAAAAGAACAAATACTACTATCTAAAAAAATATTAAATAATATAAAACAAAACCCCTGAGACGTGGCGTCTTAGGAGTTTAAAGCAGTTGTTACGTTTGAACTTATATAATGAGTCGTGGAAGATGTCAACCACGTCTGTATTTACGTTATTGAAAGTTTTCATGCTACGGTAAAGTGGAGAAAAATGGCCCATATTAGTACGAGATACAGGAACCGAAAATATATTTCACACTGGGTAACTTCATAGGTACCTACGCGAATTGCACACTTGAAATCGTCATATTGATTCAACTCTACTGCTTTTTCGTAAGACAGATTCCTCTGACAGGAATGAGCAAAAAACTCAAGGCGTTGCTCTTTTAAATAAATATTTGTACACATTTATCATAATTTCAAACATCATAGATCGAGACAACTTGCAAGAGCTAAACGGGTCATTGCCACGGCAACGTATAATGCATGTAAGTGAATTACTTAAAAAAAAAAAGTTGAGAATTTGTCTTAAACAAAAATGAAAAATACTTTCACGAAGTATATTGAAAATATAAAATACGAAATTCGTTATTTTCACCTCTATTGTTCTAATTACAGAACAAAATCAGTACACTAATCCATACCACGAAAGTATTTCGAATTCCAATTACAAAATACATTTTTAAACAATGATTGAAATGCAAATACCAAATACGTATTTGTATTACGAATGCAACAGAGTCGTCCTCGATCGTCGACATAGCTGCGAAATGCTGCTGGCAGCAGACGGATGCGACAAGCTGAAGACCGGTCGAAATTGTGCACATTGGGAAAGGCCTTTGTCCAACTGTGGCCTGTGATAGGCTGATGAAGATACGTATTTTATTTTTTTATATCAGTAGAGCTCTTTGTGAATGAATATGTACCTACAGGAAAGTAAAGTACAGTTGTGAAGGGTAAGGGTGCTGGTGAAATTTAAGGGACATGGGACTTTTCAACTTAAGTCCCTCAAACCTGTGCGATGTAAAGCCAAAGCGGTAGGGCTAGAACGACAGGCCACACGGCACGACTTACGCGAGATCTGCTATCCTCGCATCTATATGATCTCTAGATCGCTTCGAGACTTACGCTTTTTTTCTTAAAAAATACTTTAAATCCCTCTACTGTAATACTTTTCATGCACATTGGACGTTTCACCTTTCCAATGTCGAAATAATTCAAATGCTGCTCAACCCTGCAATTACTTCAAGTTCTATTCCATCGCAATAGACAGAGACCACAGGCTTCCACTTGCAATAATCCTGAATATAATATTCGCCTCATCAATATGATCATAAAATGGTTTTAACGAAGCCATATAACACTTGGCAACTATCCACGACAAGAATGCATAATCTTCGACAATTTTTACTCTGCTGCAGTTAGTTGAAGGGCGCTTGTGACAAAACTCAAAACCGAGAAAATAATGTTTAAAGAAATGAAATTAAAAAAATATCTGCTTTTCTCTTGCGGTAACTTAATGTCTTATCCACCTAAGATAAAATAAAAATAGTGACAGATCGTCCTTTTTTACTGATCACGGCAGTATACATAACAATTTTTTTTTATATGTCACACGCGCCCTTTCAACTAATGGCGGCAGTATTGCAGTCGTCTCATTTTTATCATTATGACTCGACGGCCTCAACCTTCAAATTAACAGACAAGCAAACTACATAATTTTGAGTGAAAATGATGTATATTGTCTAAAATAGATTCGATAACGTTTATTTAAATACAATGATTTGCAAATTTAAATTCAGGAACATAAAAATGGAATTCTTATTTGTGGATCTCGTTATTAAATACGTTTACAATCGAATTTATTCAAATCACGTTTTCGAGTCATGTGGCGATTATATTAACTGTTTAATGATATGCTAATCGATGTTAATGGTCACTCGGTTTATAGTTAATCAAAACAGAAGTGACTTGATAAAATTAAAGAAAAGTTCTGCTATCGCTAGGGTGATGTATTCTGTAGTAAAATTTTCCGTCTTTAGGGACAGGATAAGGCATCTAAGCCATACTGCCAAATCTTAGATTTTTTTCTAATTCTTCTTCAACAACTTAATTTAAAGGAAAAGCCAAGTTTTCAGTATTAAATTGGCAGACAAATTGCTAGATCTTGAGTTAACTTGTCTTTGTAGTAGTGTGAGAATGTTGTTTTTAAATTGTAAGATAATTGTTGTTGTGTTGTTGCAGAGTTCTCCAAGTTAATAAATCATAAATGGGATGAAATTTTCTGGGTAAACTAAGATATCAAGCCCCGGTGTCTGTTCTTAAAGTACCCGTATGATTAAATGGGTGAATATGTGTTGATACCACTGACATTCGTAGTGTTTATGCATATGACGCCAAAACTCAAAGCTTACCACGTTACATAATCTCAGTACAGAGTACCAAAAAAACCGACCTCAAAAGTACGTGGAATTACATATAAATTACCAAGTTTTATTGAAATCGGTTACCGGAAAGAGCACAAACCCGGATTCATCCTCTAGTTTGCCACTATACGGGACTTGACACTTGAGATAACAAAAACTGGTTCTCACTACTAAAGTATATTGAGCGAGAAAACGCCTTGAATTGGAGAATAGCAAAATCAATTATTAAAATAATTGCTCCTTATAATAAAATTTAGGCGCTATTATATAAATGAATCTTCATGCGTGAACAGTCACCCTTAGAGGTGGATGATTTTCTTCAAAATTAAATGGGACCACTATGGAGGTACCCTCTTTCCAACAAAAAATAACCATGAAAATCGGTTCAC